TTTCAAGCGCTAAATTATCTTTTCACCGTAGGAAATGGTGAGAGGCGATGGATGGTTACATGAATAATTGAATTGCAGGATCAAGGTACTTGCAGTTTGGTTTACTGAGTAAATTAAGAAACCGTCACTAGAGAAAAATGTAAAAGGGACTCAAGAAAGAACAACTAGGGCCAAAGAGTATTAACCAATTGGTAATACCCTTAGCATTCTAAAAAGCAAATTATTGCCGATAGGCATCGTCTGGATGCAACATCCTCCTCCAGAAATCAGGTTCCTTTGACTGGGCTAAAAGTCAACAGTGTACTTTTTCCCAGCTGTGCAAGAAGTTTACATCCCATGCAGCACACATATCAGACCGCAAATTTACTTTTGCTCCTGTTGTGATATGCTAATATTGTCTTTGGCGTTGCAATTTTTACAAGCTTCATTGTAACTTCATGGATATATTTGACTTACCTTACCTCCGATTGGAGCCGAAATATCCACAAAAGCATAAGATTCAATGATTTTACCGTTATGAATCGAGCGTTTCCGACTAATTTAACATTTGAATATGATTTGCTTAACTATTTTTAGCAGCACGATGCAACTGCAGATTCCAAGCAGATGGGAAAGATAATTGTTCCATAATCTCATTCTCAATTTAGGTGATTGAAGTCTGAATGCTAAAAGCACAACAGTTAAACATTTTTGCAAAAGAAGTGCGCTTACCTTAAGTGGGTGTATAGCTTGGACAAAGCAAGCAGTTTATGAGACCTTAAGAGCACTTAGAAAGTGGTCTTTAAGCTTGAGGCTGTGAAGCGCGCGTTTGTTTAAATGCATTTTGGGAAGTAAGGGGTAAGTGTACACCAAACTCATGACCGAGTAAACCTTATTTGTTCCCGAGAAGAGAAGAGCAATTGATATCTCATTGATTTTTGATTACCTGTAAACCTACCTATTCTACAAAGATAGACAGTGCCTTCTTTTAGTCAGTATTCTCGATTTCAGGGTCTGAAGTCGGCGGTAGTAGGGAAGATCCATGAGCAAAGCACATATAAGTAAAATAACACTTTTTTTAACTAAGCAATGCTTTCTCTACAAATATGCGTCATTAGCAGAAAAGTTGGAAAGAGTTTGGGCAAAAAATGGGTGATTTATAGTGACACACTAGTCGGGAAATTAGGCTTAGCGATGACATCCTACGAAGAACAAGGGAAGGGAGAACGGCGTCATTCACCTGGAAAAGACGTTGCACGTTTTTACTTTGATATAAAGTTTAATTACACATTTTAGGCGGCTACTGGTATCTTAATCAATTTCTTAGCCCCAACATATGGTAATAGAATTATCAGTTCGTTACACCAGTAAATCCTAGCTTCAACCGAATTTTGAGTGCAGAATACAAAGTCTTTGTCAATAGTGCCACTGAAACGTGTGGTACTAAATTCCGAAATAAGTAATCTTTATCACAGGTATCATTCTAATTGTTCAAATTGAATTTATTCAAATCTTTTACCGTTATCCTCTGCACGTGAAAATTTCAAAAACAATATAGTCCTACATTAGTGATGCAAATGTCGTTATACATGTACTACAACTAAACTGAAAGTTAAATTTTTTAAGTTCAAGGTCAACATTGTTGTTATATGCGTCAGCTGTATCCAGCGCCTAAGTCCAAACTTCGTGCCTTATGCTTCTCAGGTGGCAACGCTGCCCGGATGGGGAGCTTCTCTAAGATTAATATTTGTGTTTTGTGCTTTTTCTTTCTTGCTTAGTGCGGGTTGAGTCACAATGTGTGTGTTTTCATGCACAAACTGCCGGTGATAATTTTTTCTGCGTGGATCTTCTAGTAATGGTCGTTAAGTCTATGCTTTGATTTATATTGCTATTTGGTTTTGATCAAGAGTATAGCATATACCTTAGAAATGCGGATTTGTGGAAACATACCTTTTGTACGCCTGTGTGTACCTATGTAAGTGTTGTACTGGTGAAGTTTGGTGCGTATCCTACAATTGCAGTGGATTTGATTACTGCCAAAGCTTCTACTGCACCCTGTATATGGTGTTTGTATCTTAATTGGGTGGATCTGCAGTTGAAAAATCTGTCCCAGAAACGGGTGTTGCTTTGCAAATTACTTTCCCCCGATTTTCTTATTTTTGTAGCAGATTCCATGGTCGTGATTTTCTGTTCGTATGTTCTTTTTTGTCAAGATCAAAATGTCAGACTCTGAAGCTTGCAATCTTGCTCGTGACGGTAGAGTGACGGAGTTAGTAAACAGAATAAATGAGGACTCTGGATTAGTCAAATTGAAGGACAGTGTATGTACTCGGATTTGTTAATCATTTCTTGTTCTTCTTTTACATCGTTTGTATTTTTTGGTAGTTGAATATCCTGGTGTTGAATGCTGATTCTCAACGAAATTAGTGGGGGTCACAGATATTCTAGTGAAAAAGCATATATCTAATCTTTTAATACCGGTTTCTAAATGTGTCCATTGAAAACATGGCTTTTTCATTGTGAACCAAAAGAGTCTGAGAACTTACCATAGATTTGGTTTGTCTCGTGTATGTGTGATGTGGCTCGATATTCCAGTCGGGGCGTACTGTTTTGCATTGGAGTTCCTGTGGTGGGCATGTCGATCTGGTCAAACGTCTGATCCAGGGTGGATGTCTACCGGACGAGCCTGATTCAGTATGTTTTGTGTAACTGATTTTCCTTGCGTCATCATTTTTTACAATACCAAAGTGAACGTATGCCATTTGAGACTGGTTTGGATCAGGATTGAGGTTCTACCGTACCTTAAACGTTCGAACATGACTTACTTTAGACTTGTTGGCAAGCTGCTAAATTGCATGTACCTATTCATTTGACCAGCTGTCATTCAGATTACTACATCACTACTGATATCACTATTATTGTATGTGTGTGTAACATGTTTTATGGCTGTCTACGTATTTACTGTTTAATTTATCGCATTCCGCGTAGTCGGGTTGGACTCCTCTGATGATTGCCGTGTCTGCAGGTCGGGAGGACGTCGTCGCGTACCTCTTAGATGCAGGTCTTTCTGTTGACGTTAACGTGGTCAACTCAACAGGTCAAAATTGCCTCCATTATGCAGCCTCCAAGAATCGGCTCTCGGTATGTTCCAATTCGTCCATCTCTCTTAACCTCGATTGAGCGCTCTTTTAGAGTTCCAATTTTGATGTCAGTCCCCCAGGTATCGCCCTAGCCGATCGACTCAAAATGCATGATTGAAGTTGTTTGTCTGATGTGGTTCCTGTGGCTACCCGTGTGCCTAATTTTAGTCGACTTTAAGTTTTGCGAAGGCATTAATATCGCACTGGTTAGGTGATTTTGGCCTCTTTCAGATAGCGAGGCGTCTCCTATTGGCAGGAATACGGGCAGATTTACGTGACTGGGGTGGAAACACACCCCTCCATCGAGCTGCGTCTCGAGGTCACACGGAGATGGTTAAGTTGCTGCTGGCTGGGGATGTGCTTGCGGACGCAGGCAGGAGTAGAGACATCAGCAAGTGCTCACCCAATACGCCCAATGATGCTGGACAAACCCCACTGTATGGTTCAACTTCCACCTCCCCAAATCCTCTTTGAAATGCCTCCAACCACTCAAAACCTATGCTAATAGCCGACTAATTTGGAAACTCTTCTGTGATTGCTGTTATTGAGCAGCTCCATCGGTGCTTAACACTTTGATGGATTCGATTTTTTTAGCCGCTGCTATTGTAGGCCAGTTGAATTACTTACGTATATTCACCCACTCATGTTTTGAAAATATTCTCTTAGCAGTTTTACCACGTCCAGGGCATTATTTACGTGACATCTTGTGGTGCCTTTGAGCAGGAGGTCCGAATAATACCCTCGTAGTACTTCCAACGCTTTTTGCACTCCACTGAGAATGTGTGTAATTCTGTCATCTATTTGCCTGATAAATGGAGCTACAGTGGTTGTGATGCATGTGAGAGCAAAACCTTCCCACTCTTACGTTTTCTTTTTTGGAAATTAATGTCCTAATAACCGTAAAACTAGTCTTCGCCAGATTGGTTAGTGAGAACAGAACATCTTACGCTTCAATCTATCGACTGTAGCCTAAAGTGAATTTAGCGGGCACTATCATTGCAACTGTTTTAATATCTCGAGTCTAAATTCAATCGGAGTGGAAACAGTGACACCCCATATGGGTAACAGGATATCTTAGGAAGTCTTGCTTCGATTCACTGATCCTAGCGCTGTGTAATAATAAGAAATTGTGCTGAACAGAAAACGCTCACAACTCTAAAATTTCACCGTCTACCGTTCAGCGATTTCCCCAATGTTTTGTGTTGATGTCGTAGACACATTGCCTGCGAAGAAGGAAATTCTGAAATTATGAAGATCCTCCTTTCCGCTGGTGGAGATCTCACAGCAAAGGACAAGGTGCGTCTGCCCCCCATACTCTCTATTGACTCTTCGTGAATGGTCAAAAACACCTTATCTTGCCCCAACGTCGTCGTTACTTTGTTTGTCGCTGCTATCCCCGAACCCTAACCACAAACTATCCGTCTCTAGGATGGTCGCGCACCTGCAGACTTGGCGCCGGACAATCTTCGGTTTTCTATACAGAGAGACCTCAAATTACGGTCTCCATAAAACTCATTGCTTTCACTTGCTCAATAAAATCATTCTTAAAAACTTTTCATTCTTAGCATTGTAGCGTTGAAAACTCACTATCAAAATCACTTTAACCGAATACTGGTACTGATGCTGGTTCCCTCGAACTGTAGTCGCTCCTATCATTATTAGTTGACGATGGGAAAAGTAGGATCAAATGATGATTTCAAATCTTTAATAGTAATAACGCTAAAGAGGAGAGGAGTCATCATAGCTAGGCTCTTTGCTACTCTTCGTGTAAATCGTGGCATCTCATCACGGGTTTACATGGATCGAGGTGATTTATAACAAATCTACAAAACGCTCCAATGCAAATTCACTATGCAAATAACAGGTGATGCCGCTGGCTTCAGTCGGGTGGACGTATAGTGCTCAATGTGAATTGTAAGCAAGGGAGACGTAGAGTTCATGATTCGAAAGAAGGGCTCGAGTTCTAACTAGTAAGAGCGGTGTTATATTGATCGCCATTGAAAAAAGGAGCGATAACAGCAGTAAGGCCCATGTCTCAGGATCTAGCTTGGGACTGAGTGCGGAAGGGGCAATGAGTGTCAACGAAGCTGCGTAACATACAATGCGGTGATTCGAGGAGATTGGCTTGGAAAGCGGAGACTGGGAATTTTTGACTCTGAGGTGCCGTCGGTGGAGACCACCAATCTTTTCACCGCATTGGCCTGAGAGAAAGAGCTTTTTTCTTGATGGAAGCAACGTACTGTTCAGGCACCCAATAAATGAAAAAACGTGATTTCCGGGTGGGACCAAGTTGGAAGCTCATGATATGATAACCTGGGTGCTCAAGGATGGGGCAGTGTTCGACCTCTTTGACGGTATCCAGAGGTATCTTATATGTGGCCGAGGGGGTTGCCATCCAAAGCTCACAGCTTTCGGGGTGGAAGCGAAGACGCAGCGGTTTACCCTTCTTGTCTAGTAAGCCCGTCAGTGTCTCATTATCCGCCAGTGTCGCTGGTACGGTGAGACTCGCTTTAGCATTGTCTGGTTTACCAAAGGTCTCTATAACATGTTTATGACCTGCAATGGTTTCTTTATCCTCCTCAAGAGGTGGTTCATTTTCTCTGTTCGTATCCGACTCGGGTGTGGAGGCTGACGACTGACCTGAAGCCTAAGAAAGCCGGGTGATGATGATGTCGGTCTATGCAAAATTATGATACCTTTCAGCGTACGACCCTGCAAAATATAGACGCCAAAAATATTTTAATGACTAATGCAGCTTAAGGCAACGACGCAACTCACATATAAAAAACCGAGAAGTCATGCTAATGGATAAAGAGACTTTAGTTGCCACTTTAAAATTGCTTAGTGCATGCACTTAAGTCGTGAGAGTAGCGATGCGTGGCTAGCTGATTTTTGATACCACAATGCATATGCCCTTGTAAATTCTCAAGTAAAGAAGCTTACCACTGATACATCTCTTTCAGTACCGATTAGCATGATTCTTGTGTCACGCCCAGGCAATCTAAGGCTCGCAATTTTCGTGTCATTCTTAAGAATGCCCCGAAATATCAATTTCTGCATGTTGACTGGCACGTTAGTGATGGCTTCAAGTCTTTCCTTCAAATCCTCTACGGTGCAGTCAGGCATGAATTCGAAGGAGTAAAGACTTCGATTGTGTTGCACTATCAAACGGACAGCAACGTCCCCAGAGCTTTCCGCCACCCTTTTTGACTCTCCAATGCCTTCAGAAGCCGCTGATCCGCTAGCGTTGGTGCGCATTGTCTCACACCTGCAAGTGTAATTACGTCGTGGGAAGCAACTTAATGGAATAGCGCAATTTGTCTCAGGGTGTCCAATAGGTATTCAAAAAGTAACAGCACTCACCCTAATACAATTATCTGTGGAGAAGCAAATTACATAACTACTAACCAACAATTAGATATTGTATGAACAAATGAAATGGGAACATGTAGCGTCCGCCTAAAAGCAGTCACAACAAAAGGGGCAATTTATTGCTGACTTTAGAGGGGAATATCAGTTCTACCCAATGTATACCGAAGAATATCTCAGAGTAGGTCGCAAAAGAGTGTCCAAACGCACAACACAACTCACCAGCTTCGAGAACTGCTAGGGTCAAGTTGTATTCAAACCGCTCGCTGCACTTGTTTTACGAAGCGAATTCTAGCCTCATGCTTCTTCACTTTAGAATGACTTATGCAATGTTATGTTACAAATAAAAAATTAAATTCAGCAAAAAAAAGTATGTTTAGTTAATTTTTTAAAACTTATTATGCAATTAGCTGCTTTTAGCTCTTAAAAAAGACATAAAAACAAAATTTTGCTCATTTTATCCTAATGGCGCGTTCTATTCTTGATATAATGCTTATTTTTTGACAAAACTGTTACCATGCCAACCTCGCCTCGTTGTTGGACCAATGACTTTTATGTACCATATTGTTGTCGCGCAAATACTTGGTCATTGGCGAGGCATGCGGGGCACTCCAGTTTTAATTTTGAGTAAGTTTCTCCCGAAACATCCCAGTTTTTAAGATCAAAACACTAGACGAGAGCATGGTAAGGACGTCCAGTTTGGGAATATTGAAGCTGGCAAAACAGTAGCCGATGTTATTCGTACGTGTCTGGGTCCTCGAGCAATGCTTAAGATGCTTTTGGATCCAATGGGCAGCATCGTGATGACAAACGATGGCAACGCTATTTTGCGTGAGATAACTGTTGAACACCCAGCGGCTAAATCAATGATTGAAATTGCTAGAACACAAGATGAAGAAGTGGGCGACGGCACAACATCCGTTATTGTTCTTGGTTGGTCTTTCTCCTCTCTATTAATCATTTAGCCGGTGAGGTTCTTTCAGTGGCTGCTCCCTGTCTTGAGAAACAAATTCACCCAACAAAGATCATTACTGCTTTTCGTCAGGCCTTAGAAGATATAACTACGGCGATCGACACTAAGCTTAGGTAACGTCGCTGTTTATTCCTAATCTCCTGCAGCATTCCTGTTGATGTAAACAATCACGAGGCTATGGTTAATCTTGTAAAAAGTTGCGTAGGAACCAAAATAATTAACAAATGGTAAAAACTTTGCCTAACATTCCTAGTCTCAGGGTGGATTTGGCGTCCAAGTTGGCCATAAGTTCCGTGAAGGTTGTTACCATTGTCGACGGCGGTCGGAAGGAAATTGACATAAAGCGATACGCCAAGGTAGAAAAGGTAGGTTGAAGTGCCTTCTATGGACGTTTCTAGATTCCTGGTGGTTCTATTGAGGACTCTTGTGTTCTAGATGGAGTGATGTTTAACAAAGATATTTTACATCCTAAAATGAGGAGGCGTATTGAGAGTCCTCGTATTCTTCTTCTCGATTGTAGTCTGGAGTATAAAAAGGGTGAGAGCCAAACTACCATGGAAATATGCGGTGAGAAGGACTTTACGTAAGTTTTCTTGTTCTTTTATTGTTTAGTCGGGCTCTCGAGATTGAGGAAGAATACATTGGCAAAATTTGTGAGGAGATTATTAGGCACAAACCGGATGTTGTTATTACTGAGAAGGGAGTCAGTGATCTTGCTCAGCACTTTTTGGTTAAGGCGGGAATATCGGTCATTCGCAGGCTTCGTAAAACCGATTGCCTTCGGATTGGGCGATGCTCTGGTGCCACAATTGTTAGCCGCACTGACGAGATCAAGGAGGAGGATATTGGTACTGGTGCTGGCCTATTTGAAGTAAAATTAATTGGCGATGAGTATTTTACGTTCATCACAGGATGTAAGGTTAGTGCATCGTCTTCCCTTTAAGTAGGAACTTGTAGGACCCTAAGGCATGCACTATCCTTCTTCGTGGTGCCAGCAAGGACGTTCTAAATGAAATTGAAAGAAATCTGCAAGATGCTATGTCGGTAGTACGGAGTGCTTTCATGGATCCACGATTAGTCCCTGGTGGCGGAGCACTTGAGATGGCTCTTGCGCAGGAGCTCAGTCAAAAGGCGAAGTCTGCTGTTTCTGGTGTGCAGAAAGTTGCCTACCTGGCTGTAGCTCAAGCATTGGAAGTAATTCCTAGGACTCTGGCCCAAAACTGTGGTGCTAATGTTTTGAAGCAAATAACTGAATTGAGGGCCTACCACGCAATCGATCCTGCAAAAAACTGGACCATGGGAATAAATGGTGAAACAGGACAGTTAGTGGACATGAAAGAACTTGGGGTTTGGGACCCTGTTGCGGTTAAGTCTCAGACCTTCAAAACTGCGATCGAGGTAATACACTGCTCATTTAACTTGTATTTTCAGACGGCCATTTTACTTCTGAGAATTGACGACATCGTGTCTGGAACCAAGAAGGCCGCTGACACTGATTCGAAGCCTTGAAAAGTGTTTTAGCAGTTGTTATTAATAAAGTTTAAGCCTTTTGCATGTCTCCGAATTGACAGCTTTCATCTCAACCCTTGGCTTGGGAACAAATGGTTTCGGTCTTACCGTGTTTGGTGCTTCAATGCTGCAACAAACATTCGTCTGGCTAAGTACTTGGATGCGTCGTTGTTCGATGTTCATGCCCGTGGGATTAGGTAGCGTTTTAGGGTTAGTGGCGTAGGAATCGCTTCAGGTCCTTCGGTTCCAGCCTTGGTGCCCGCGGACGGGCGCGACCGCTTCTCCCGATGAGTTTCGTGTGTAGGCCTTGTGGAAGTAGTGCGAATCATGTTTAGTTCCTCCTTGACCACCATGAGCTTTTAATCCCCGAAGTTGGCTCCAGGGTCACCTTGTCGACGGCAGGTTCGCCACTAAACGGATTGGGCCCCTTTACCGGTGCCTTCTGTCGACTGGACTGTCGTCCAAACGTATCGATCTGGCTAATTGCAAAGCCTTAATCTCAAGCCTAGGTGGTACCGTCCCCACTAGTTGCTCGTAACGATTGGCCTTAAGAGCCATAGGAAAGTACTGAGGCGGACGCATACGAGGAGCAAAGCATGGGAATTTATTTGTAGATAGTCAATGGGAGCAGATGTACGGAAATGATACCTGGAAAACATCAAAGTATAGTGCATACAGACGGCTATGAATATTACAAAGAGAAAACAACGATGGTTAGCTAAATACATTGAGGGGAAGTGTATTTTATTGTTTCAGTACACTTGAATGAGTAGCCCTGAATAGTTGTTACACGATAAAAACGGGGCTCATTGACAAGCACAGATGCATCTTGCTAAGAGGTAAGGGCTGGGGCGACTCAAGTAAATACTTTCATCTTGGAATTTTTCCAAAATCATGAAAATTAGAGGAACCAACTTCCAGAGGAATTGGTATCTCCAAGCAAGATGAAAATAAGATATTTTGTAAAGACAAAAAGAGTTATAACCACAGCACATCACAAGGGACATTGAGAAGTTTTGCTGCGTAAGAAGGTGCGCCTGTGCACGGAAATGAAATCAAGAATCGTCATCAGGTAGGGTGTGTGTCATCAATACAGCTTCTTTGACTCTGCATCCAGGAACTGATGGGCCATTTGAACGACATTCTCACAATACCGATTCTCCCCTAGGGCAAAACGACGCCACTTCCTCTAAAAGTAAAGTCTCTCTGATCAATATACGCATCACACAGCCAAGGTTCCAGAAAAAAAATTCAATGAAAAGAAAGCAATAGTACACCATGAAGTAAAACAACGCAAATAAAACCTAAGATTGATCAAAAAGTGGCAGTTTAGCTTGTTAGCCAATGGAACGTTTATGCACCTACCCCGTATGCTACTTGCAAAATTCGTCTAATAGTGAACTCTGGCTCCTTCTGTACAGGATATGCTAACTTAAAGCTTGAAGCAGAGCTGGTCCGGCGCGAGAGGCTCAAACCTTGCCGGGAGACATTCGTGGCAAATTGTTGAGTTTTCACTGGCGCAATAGGCGTTGTTGCAGCAGCCATTCGATTCCATACTGTCATTTTGGCCATTGACAGAGCGATCGAATCACTAGTAGAAGACTTCGGTTGATTTAAAGGGGTAGCATATGAGAATCGCTGTTTGGGTGATCGGATGTTGGGCGGAACGTTGAATCTCTCAATCTGAAATGGAAAGACTTTCAACAGAGCTGCGGATATAGACGCATTGGTTGAGCGCTGAGTGAAGGACAAAAACAGATATTAAAAATTAACAAAAAGTACCAAGACAAATGCTACCCATAAAATCAAAATAGCATGAGAATTTAAAAAGTAGGCAATAAGTGCCACGATGAGGCGTACAAAAGGGGTTGGTGAAGATTTTTCTGATCCGAAATCGTTATTTCCAAACAACACTCGAGGCCTAAATGAATTGGTCGACTTCGCATTGGTCGCGCCACCGAGATTCCCAAAGCCAGAAGGCGGGCTAGAAAGGTGGAAAGACTTCTGGTCGGACTCGCTAATAGACTTAGAAGGCGTCTGCACCACAAAGAAGTCGTCGCTGGAGGCGAGGTATCTGAATGATGAGGAGACAGGTGAGGACTCGTGACAGGGGTGAGCAAGAGTCTCATCAGTGGGATCGTTAAGAGCGTCGAAGTTGAGGTCTTCAATAGGGGAGAGGGAAGTGGACGAAGTAGAGTTGGACAGACGAGACGATTTCGGTTTATGGGAGAGGGAAAAGTGCGAGTCCAAATGCATTCTCCTCTTAAACGAATGACTGAAGTTTGATTGCAATGGTCTATGTACAAAGGAATAAATAGTCGATACTAACGCAAATGTAAAAAATAAGATAGGATTGCAAAGTTCGAATGATGCAAAACATGTTGAGATTTATCTTACTTGGGAAGTATATCGTTTTCTTGATTATAGGTCGATGCTGGCCCGGACAGTGACGTCCCCTACATAACAAGAAGCGGTGGTAATAGCAGTGAAGTACAGGACGTTTATTAAAACCGACGTAAGTAGGAATCACCGCCCAGAGTAGTAGATGAGGGCGCAACAACTTTAATCACACTTCAACATTGGTCGATGCACAGGTCATCGGATAAGCTGGAAAACCTATGGTGAGGTTAAACCCCGTTATTTGTACAATCTAGAAGCAGGTGTTCACAATTGCCCTTTATTTCATACGCCTTAGTCTAACTAGTGCATTTACAAAGTGTTAGCAAAATTTAAAGCAATGAAACCACGGTACTGTGACAACCCTCGCCTGAAAAGTGCTTTTTTTTAAATCTCAGTATCCACTTCGAATGGAACTTATTACCCGATACACACTAATCCGAGGGCTCGACAAAGCCTTAAAAAATATTTTATCGGGTCACTAAATCAATGCCCGGGTGAGCCCAAACAGTACAGCGTGTGGTAAATCAAGATATGAGCCTTAACTACCAATGATACTCATATTGCTATAGTGCTAAATCGTTGATTCCTACAGTATAAAAACCTGAAAGGAAGGATCATTGGAATAAAGAAGCACTTGCAAACTTGTTTAGACTCAAGTGTTCTCAGTTTGCACGATCTACTAATTGGTAGACTAGCTCACTTGCAAATAGGATGAATTTCAACTACATATTCCCGGCAATTTTTTTAACGACTCCACTTATCTACAACTTTACCGACAATTCTTTCAATTATTTTTTGGTGAAATAGACCAATCAGATACGTATGACTTACTGTTTCGAGCCAAATTTCAGTTTTTCACTCGTCCTCTGTACCAAAAGGTTTTGATAAGCCAACACAACCCCTTTTAGCTATGCCCAACTGCACAGCAATGCGTTGCGGATATAATCCACCTTCATACTGTGACAGCAGGAGACCAAACTTCAAGACACCCCCTTGCCAATCGCTTTTATTTCAACTAATCATCTCAAATGGCTCAGCACTGTTGCAATTACACACTAGTTCTTACCACAATTTCAAGCAGTTTAAGATGTGTCCGTCCCAACGATTGCATTAATGATTTACGCTATCAACAGCCACCTTAGCCTCAGCTCATGTGTGCCACCCAAACAACTTGCAAACGCACTGGGCTTCGTTTTGCTGATACGCAATACGTATTGTAGGATGAATGCTTTGGGAGTATGACTAATTTTAAGCCATTATTAGAAAATTGGACGACAACTCTTAAGGGGACACCCATGAACAAGTACGCACATTCGAAACAGACTCTAGGTATATCGACCCACCTAGGACCTAAAGAAACAGAGAATAAAAAAATGTGCACGAACAAAAGATACAATTAAATAACTAGCTAAGGTAGAAATCAAAGTGATTTCATTTCACATAAAATATGAATCGATTATGAGTGGGCTTACAGATAAGTAAGATATGCTGCACGTGGAGGAAGGTTCGCGGGAGGTGTGCCTTCGAAAGGATTGATTGCGTTTTTCAAGATACGCTCCCGACCTGCCGATATTTACTTGCGCATTTGATCTGATTTAAGACAAACTTTACCATTAATAGGAGAATAAAAAATGGACGTGAAAGGAATATGACAAACGATAAAAACATACCTGACCATATGGCTTAATGAAATTGGACGATAACTACTGGGATTACCATGCTGAAAACGAGGCCATTTAATCCGCAGTTCTGAAGACGAACGCTTTACGACAGGATGTAAGTTATCGGCGATGACCTCCCATTTCGGTACACGTCTGGCAGCTAAGGTGGATAAGGCTTGATTTTCGAGATCTTCAGGCGGGGAATTTTGTTCAAAATTAGAGAGATCGTTAAAACGAACCCTTGTCACATAAAACGGGGACGTGAATTTACAACAATACCTTTGATTTGAACGCAATGACGAACCATTTTGACTATAGTCCAGAATTTGTAAATCGTTCGCGTTCGATACAGGATTAACAAACATATTAAGCATTCTGTACAAAGGTCCACCACACTCAGAGGTAGAATACCAATCCTTTAATACTTAGCAGAAAGCTGGTATGGAAAAAAACCCAAAAATAGCACTATTCAATTAGCCCCACTTAAATTGTCAAATTAGAGCTTCAGCAAAGAAAACTATAACTTGTTAGAGAAAACAAAAGCAATGCAAGTAATGAAGCACGAAAGTTTTGTCGAGAATTACGCAAAAAAAACATGCTAAATGCGATTCATTCCGCGATATTATTGGAAGTAAAACTCCGTATTAGGACACTATTAGTAGAATTTACACCCGATACTATATTCGCTGACGCTGGTAGTTCATAAAAGCAACCACTTTAACAGATCGCAAGTCTGCAAATATTGCATGATTTGATCGAAGATATGAGCCAGTTGTGCAAAAACACGTCTATGATGAGGAACAAACTCCATCCCTAACGGGTAATGCGACCAAGAACGATCCAGCTACTATAACCTAGACTTACTTCCTATAAGTATAACGCAGCTTGACTAATTTGTGCCGTGTTTTGGCTTGTCAATGTAGTAAACCCACACGAACCAACTGGAAAAAACTGCCCGCAAACCATTCAGTTTGCGCAAACAATGCTGAATGGGCATTTGCTGTGTAGTAAAACAAGCACGTTTTTACGACGATTACTGACAAAAAAATTAAATGTTTCTGTTTTAATTAACCAAAAAAAGGTAACAATTTTTAAGCTAGCACTATTACCATTTGGCTCTACAGTCTGCAGTGTGCAGGTTTAGGTGAAAAGGTAATTCTCACCAGAAACTTATGAAAAAATTGAAAGTATGCTTGTGCAGCTTTTTGAGTTCCTAGTACAGCTATTGCTGAAAATATAATGAAAAACTAGGTGAGATGCCGTGAGTATGGTCCAGAAGCCATGCTGAAGAGTTGAGGGATACAACCCTTTGTGACCAAAGTTTCAGAGTGTTTTAACACACAGTCATACAAAACATTAGGTAGCTACAGTTACTTATCCGAAGGGCAAGCAATGTGGGTATACTGTCGGTAGACATTATGTTATTGATCTCTTGTGATCGAATTTATTCCTCATGTTTGTAGCTGAACGAATATCATGTACAATCTTACCATTTGTCACATTTCTGTCATGCATACGTTCTGAAGGAACTATCATGACACTCTATGAAGGTAGCGGTTTGCTGTTTAACGTAATTTTTTGCCTCCCTCCCCCATTCTTTCTCTGGTATTTATTGGTTTACTTGGGCATATCCACAGCGCTAATGAGATATAAAACAAAATCGAACGTTCCCCTGGATTTGTGTCTAGCTTTTCCTTAAACTTTTGGCGTAAATCAGGATTCTTGCACCTCCTTTCGGGAATATCGCCTAAAGGTCACCAGGCAATCTATCATAACAAACTGGTTATTACAGCAATAAAAGTGTAGCAGAAGTTGAGTAAAGCGAACAAAAAGGCTAAGACATGGTCGAAAGACTTTTAGACAATCACAGAAACAAATTTGGAAACAATAGTGAGGACGACCCGTTGGGCGATTTACAGAAGAGACTACCACAATTTGACAAAAGCAGCAATTATGGTCAGGAAAGTTACTCGTGTCGTTGCTGTAGATTACAAATGGCTTTTGAAAGGATGTGAAATTAAAATGTGCTGATAGACTCTGAAATTAGAGGTTAATATTTGCCTGGGAGAGCCTTTGGGCGGGGAGCTGGCCCCGGGGAGACGGATGGGATTAGAGACTGCAATCGATATATCAAATCCCGTGCAAAATTCAACAACTTCAACAGATCATGTTGTTCAGCTCTCTCTAAAAGGTTTTTAAAATGTGTTAGAATTGGTACATTATTGACATATGCTTGCTACACAAGAAGTACTTCCGATCAATGGTTTTTGAGTGCTTTAATCAAAAAGCAAAAACTTGGTATTTAAGTCTGCTCGAAGATCCAGCACAATTACCGCCATATAGAGCATTTATAAACCAACAAAATGGTAAGAATTGACCAATCATTAGTGCCGCTGATTTGACCTTGGATGTTCTAGAGATTTGCAAAACAGCCTAGAAATTCAGAGAATGTATCCAGTGATCCTCATTAAAAGTCGACTTTTATACACTTATCGACACATCACCACCTTTCACTCATGGCAATGAAAGCTCACAATTAGAGGGAGGCACGAACGAGGGGGAAAAGATCTCGTACTTAACATATGGTAAAGTACTTGAAGTATCAAATATGTTTTCACATTTGATAATGAGGCACACTTAGCAATTTCATTGAGCTATCCTTTAGGATGTGCAATGTATTCGTACAAATCTCTAAGAATATTGAGTTTCGTGAAAATTCTTAGGTACAAATGCTCTGGTTTGGTAGGCTTCCTACGTATTTAGTGTTCATTCGTAATATAAGATAATCAGTGGTAAAATTCATTTTGTATGGTCAATTCAACCTTAATCTACTTGCATAACTCTGGATACGAATTGACACCTGGAAAATCTTGAAAAACTCACCATTGTAAAACCGTATAATGTCTGTGTAGTCGAAGCAATAGAAGATAATTATGTCGCGGTAATACTGAATCAGGGCAAATGCAATGAAAATTTCGAAATCTGGGCAGACTAGGCGATAGGAGGTCCAAATCGTTTCCCAGGCAAGGAACACGTCAGAGTACTTAAACTCTACAAGTTTAGAAGGTACGTAGAGTAGCACCGACCCTGCATCCTTGCCCATTTTGATTATTAAAAAGTTAGCTCACCTCGCTTGAAGTCTAAAAGGAGCCATCGGTAGAAATAAAGGTGGGAATTGTCCTCACTTAGGTGCATGTGTTCAGCGAGGACAGGGTCCAAGACCTTAAAAAAGCATTAGCAAAGCACCCCAATCGGTTGACCGAAACTACAGTCAATAGGAGACGAAACCATATTTATCCAACAGCTACATACCATTGGTTGAGAGAAACTATAGACAAATAAAGTTGCACAATAACTGAGAAATGCGAAAAAAAACACATGGAAGCAAATCTAATTGATTTATAAATAGAGAGCAGATATGCTAATGGCAATATCGAAATAGTCGTTGCATTGTTCCGAATCAGGTTTGATAAAGAACTTCCGCATCTTCAGACTGGCCCATTCTAGTTCGGTGCAGCGAGAAGCAACCTGTGCTATGACCCAGCTTTAACAACTGCATCATAAGTCAGTATTGTATTATTTTAAATGAACATGAATGGGTGTGAATACGGCAATAATGACCTACTTCAATAAGACTGCGAAGACTTCCAAACTGTTGGTTAATGAGCGTGCTTCCGGCGGGAGCAAGAATAGACACATTCGGCCGAGCCTTGTGACCATCTGTAGCGTGGCGGTTATTCTCTTCCAGGAGCTGCTGTTTAGTTTTGGGCCGCGTGAACTCGTAGCAGCGATAGGGCGCGTACTCAAAGATAACGGGCTCGAGAAGGTGAGGCAAAACCACCCCCGCAGCTGCCGCAGCCCCCGCGCTCGTAAATGTGGTGCCAGAGGCGAGAGGAAATTTGGAAAGCATTCTCAGCATGAGCTGAGAGAAACAAGCGTAGGTCAGCGCCTCGTCTTCCAGTACCACAAGCAGGGGCGCCAGGAGGTCGCACATACCCTGCACGTACCCCGTCTCCATGTGCTGCCAAACCCAGGTGCACATGATGGTGCGCAGACGGTAGAGGTTGGCTGAGAGGTCGAGGCTCGCCACGCACAGACCCCCCATCAACTGTTCTGACACCGCTTTCTGGGTGCCATCACCATTGGACAGGCCTGCTGGAAAAGTACTCTCATTAATATGCCCACAACCTCAGACATTTCAGATTTTAGTGTTGTCTTGACCTTCTTCATTGTTTTAAATAATTCCTTTCTGGTTTATTCAACCAAAACCTGTTTAAAGGTAAATCGTTTCCTTTCCTAACTTTGCAAAGTGTTGCAAAACTCGCCACAATGAATCAGGTGGAGGAGATACTGTTAGTAATGTGTTGAATTCGAGATACCTTTCCTAATCATTAGCTTACTATCAAGAAACGTACCGTGATTGCAAGGTAGATTTAGAGAAAATGTGAGAGGAGGAACATGCAGCTTGACGTACAATTATCTCAGCTGTCTCTAGTTGCGACTTACCTTTGGAGAAGTAATGGTAGTGACGATCACATCTGGCAACATCCTTGTCGATTCTCTGAATATTTACTGAGAGAGCCTCGAGAACTTCACTCTGTGAAAGGAAAAGTAAAGAGATTCTATAACTATGATTAGCATTTTAACCGAGGCAAATCCTCCTACTTTTAAAGCGAATTATTTATTTGTTTTGAAAACTACACCTTTACGCACTCAATGAACAGACACTCAAATATACTGCCACAAGCTTCGATCCTCAAATAAAACTGCAAAATATGTCCAAATTGTGCTCAAGCTTGTCATTTCTCAAGCACTTCGTTTGAAGTAAGGTACTGTGAGCTCCTAAGATGGGTATAATTGGAATATGTGTACCTTGACTTTATTAGGAACTGTTTATTAAATGATCTATCAATTACATTTTCGGAAGCGAAATGTAGTGCAAAATTAAACATTAAAAGTGTTGGATTCCAGAAAAGTCGGTTTCAAAAATGAAAAAACGGTGCTTTTGCCGCGTGATTTTACATTGTGACGCTAGAACTTCGTTATGAATGAAAACAATGTACTCACATGCACACAGTTTTGCAACAAACTATTTCTTAAGCACTCTATTTCGGCGATGGGTGTTTTGGACTTGACCAACTCACAATACTATGAAGGCGGATATTCAAAAAGTGCTTTTCAGTATATATCTGCGCGCGAAACACCGCAAAAAAGATATGTCGAGGTAATTCACATACCGAGTAGCTAGCTCCCGATGTCTCAGAACGCGAATGCCGAATTTGTTTCCTCTCGCTTGATGGCTGGGTCGGGGTTCGATGGACCTGGTCGTCGGCACACTTAAAAGGTAAAGTGAGCGGGCTAAAGACTTCATCGATGTCGGAGTTATTCTCCTGTGTAATGGCGGAGAAATTTGTATTGCGATTTGTCACCGTAAGACAGTCGAGCGATTGGGGAGAGTTAGGACAGGACTGAGCCCGCGCAATTGCGAGGCGACGCACACGATTCGCCGCTGCCGTGCTCTCCACACCATCGTCGTCGTCTGTTGTTGTCATCGTGCATTCCTCAGTCGCATCGTCTGTCAGGTCGACAGAATTGCCACGACTGCTGCAGCCAGTGCCACCAACTCCACTATTTGCTTTAAGAGCTCTGGACTCATGAGTCCACTTGGGAGGCAAAGGAGGCAGTCTACTGGCTGAATAAAGTGGAAAAGTGAACTTGTTTACTCAGTTAATAAACCGATAAGCTCCTGAACCTCTGTAAAGCTTCTAATCTGATTTAGTTTCAGTATGAGTGATAGGAAGTGGTGACTCCATTTGTCCTGTCGCAAAAAAGTGGTGTACGTTCGGAGCCATCATAATTAATGGACGAGAATTCGAAATAACGTTTCGTGTTTGAATGTCTGAATAGAGCATTTTGGCAGTTAAGATGATCGGCAATAACTACATAACAAACCTTTTGCCAAAGCATAAATGTGAATCTATTTAATCGACTACTCTGATACCGAGTACTTTATTGAAAACACAGGATCATGAATAGAAACTGATAAAAAAATGGGAAGGGGATGCAAATAATCCGTTATTTTTTGTTCAATTGATAATTATCATTAGGAAATGGGTGTACCAGTTAGGCTAAGCAATAAACGCTTTGATAAAGCATTGACATCAACCCACTGATGCGTGTTGAGTTTGCGGGAATGTGTGAACCACCAAGGTTTCCGTTCACTTCACCTGGTTGCCTAGATGCGGGTACAGTCTGGAAGGAAATGGCAAAGCAGCCTATTAGCTTGTAGTCCTCCGCTTGGCGAACAGTGTACTCAATAAAATGCGGCTACCATTAGAAAAAAAGGCATGAAGCCTAAATATGCACACAGCATTGACAACCAGAATTTATATAAGCCGGGTCATTAATGAAGTGTCTTTACACAATTTGAATGATGGGCTAATCGAATTAAAAATCAAAATTACAATGAGTTATTAATTGTCCTTGTTAAATAAGTGCATCTAAGCTACTTCTCCAAATGGTATCTGTCGCGAATCCATCGCCTTGAATCCAAATTGAGTAAAATGAGCATGATATCTGGTCCGAAGGTTCATTCCGGGTAGTGGGATGTATCTACTTAGCCCCCTATGGGACCGGTCGAAAAAGGGAGGACCTGACTCACCACTGTTGAAATGCGGCGTTTAACCTTGTTCCAAGCGTCCGATAATATCTAGGCCATAAAATATCTTCATTTCAGATTAGGTGGTCTTATGTTTCCAGTTCCATAAGTGGAATAACTCAGCAGTAGAAGTATTGTATCAACGCCAGCTGACAGGCAAAAAATCAAGATTGATGTGGCATTTCTAGCTTTAAACAACGGCACTTGATTCAGCTCAAAAGCACTTTTTTCTCAAATAAAAGTCGCGTTTGAAGTGGCACAAGAATTTAGAGGTGGAATTTTACGTATAGCCTCAAATTGATGCTTTAGTAAAAGCCGTTTTTAATAGCTGGTAAATCAGTTACAGAATTGACGTTTCTAAGTAGCTTATTTACGTCCAATTCACTCCTTACATTTTAAACTTATACCACTAGTGGAAATTTCTTCGTAATAGCTTATTTTGCCACCAAAACCCCCAGCTTATGGCAGGAGCTGATGCTCAACCGTGTTGCCTTATTGTAGACATTCCTTCGGGATGAAGTCCCCGTCAATTATGTAGCACTTGAGAACTATGGAGATAATAATCCAATACAAACCAAAATTCAGATATCATGATAGGAGAGGGAGGAAAGGATAGATATGGAGTAAAAACAACGGAACGCTAACACATGAAACCATTTATGCACGTGCTGTTTTTAATGATTTAGTGTACAAGAGGATGAAAACAGCAATCTCAAGTTGTTTTTAATATATTTGCATTAACATGGCTAATAAGACAGAAATTGTGAAGGACTTAGTATTAAAAATCGGCACCGCAAGGAAATCGGTCAATTAGGGAGAGCTGGGACAGGACTGGACTTAAAGTTCTCATATAAAAAGGAAAGTGCTAACTGGAATTGGATTGTAAATCAAATGGTTTTTTAAAAAAAATATCGCTAACATCAACGGTCTGTTTGTCTGAAACGAGTGATTCTCGACAGATGGAGGTGCTGCGCGATCTGATGGCAGCAGCGTTTTGACCAGCTAGCGTCTCCGCCGCAGAGCCGCGTTGACGCTGCTGCTGCTCCTGCTGCAGGATTATAACCTCGGCGGCGAGCCACTCAGACACTGAACGCTCGTAGGCCATGCGGGTGCGTCGGTCTATCTCCTCAATTTCCACCGAGGTCGCGGACCACGGGTAGTGGTTCAGGAGGAACGGCCATACCTGAGAGGCAAGGATCATCTCTTAGCACAAGAGCTGGACACTCGAAATAAAATGTCCATAATTGCACAGACTTATTCATCTTTGCCTTTCCAGTGGAACAGTAACAGGGACAATAAGGACAAAGCTGTTTACCTACAGTGATACCCACCACACTCAATTTGGGGTCAGACATGGACAAATACGCAGGTGGACAATCGTAACCGTAGTTGACACGGTACAAAAGCCACCTCAGCCGGATCTAGTACAATGACCAAATGAACTGAATCTCGCTTGAGTATATTAATGATGCAGCACTACTTAAGTTTAATTATTTATTTTATGAAAGAGATATGCAGTTAAAAAGTGGTGCGACAGACCATTGTATCTGACATGTGTAAAATGTCCTCTAACTCCATGTAAAATTAAAAGACTGTTTCGCCTATCTTGAAAGAAGATAAAATTTAGACGTTAATAGGTGTCTCTCATTGGGATAAACCAGAAACCTGAGTGATCATTCTACACATTGAGACAAGCAGCATTGCAATAAGGAAAGCTGCGTACTTTCGACTCATTACTTATCCACCGACTTAAGAAACCACTATGCTTGCCTTGATTTGCAGCAAACACCACTTTGATACTAATTTTATGAAATCTTTGTCATGAGATAATGAGAAAGGACCTCCTGTGTGAAAGAAGAACAAAGGACTACAAATACTTTGTGCATGTAAACAATATGTGACTACAGACGAGTTGGGATAAGAAAAATGGGTAAACGTTTACATTTTCAGTTGTTCATGGCTGGATGTGAACTTTCACATTGTATAATGAGTTATCTAATTCAAAAATATGTGAGTTTTGAGCATGACCATGAGTGATAACGAAAACCAAAAGAAAAAGTTATACGCTACTAAATTGTATTTATCTTAAAGTGCAGCCCATTTATAATGGATTCTCCGCAGTAACACCCATTTAGATTTCGCTTACACGTGATTAGGGTAACACATAATCATTGTCGCTAAAGCGCTCCCCTATTTCCATTTCGACTACTCAAATGTCACACCATGACTCCAACCAAATCTAAATTTGTTTACTGGTGATTCACTTTCTTCAAGCCTTATCGACACCCACGTGTGCTTAAGTAATTGAAAATGTGTTGAGTCAGATGCAAATGTGCTGATAAAAAAAAGATCATGAGAAACTTTATTTTATCAAAAGTAACCTTAAAAATAATCCCACTTCCCAAGCACTACTCTAGTACAAGAAGCAAATATGACAATGGAGTCAATTGAAATGTGGAAATGGTATTGCAAACGTTATTGCTTGGAAGTGTTAGGGACCACAACATCGGTTTGTCTTCTAACATCCATAAAGCAAAGAAAAGAACTCACTTCCTGACGTAGGGTTGGATCACAGCCGCCAAAGTAAATACGCTCATACAATTTCCGAACGAGTTTATTCTAAATAGTAAAGATGGAGGGATTCGTTACAAATGGCCAACTTGACTAATAATATCCGAAGTCATTAAAGAATTTTGGACTGATTCAACTTAATTGAATCGGCATGAGCACACCAGAGAGGAATCCAACTGCCATCAATGAAACAAGCGGCGTGTGTTGTTAAAGTTTGCAGAAGGCAAATTTACAAAGTACTAGTTGGTTCCACAACACCTTGCCATTAAGGCGGTACTCATCAAGGTCAGCAGAAAAACTTTGCATTGTGTAGAAAATCTGCAAGGATCCTAGAAAATCATCAGGTAACTAAAGTATGATGCTGAGACATTACCAATGCACGCTATGGCTGATAGTTAAGCTAGTTGTTTGCTTTGAGATACCGAGGGTTGTTCAAAATGAGGAAGAAAGGGATTTTTCCCAGAACCCGGAAATTTAATTTGAATATGGGAAACCCAGCTTTCTATGTCTCAAGTTCAGCATAGCAAAGTAGTTAAAATGAAAGTTCTAGATACAAAAATATAGAGGGATAAGTAACTTTAGAAGGGGAAAATATCCACCTTTGCAGTTGGCGTATGGTGCAATTACTCCGCAGATTCGACAATTTTGGTCCGATGGCTGTGACTACAAATACGTCCACATCCCTACTCACCTTTTGCCATTAAAAGGCGTTTGACCACTACACAAGCATTAATCGAAATTGCGTATCAAAATGCGTCCAGAATGTAGTCATCTGAAATTTATTCACATCAACTTAGTAAGCGTTCCGGACATCAAAATGCACAGAAAAGTGTGCTTTGTGCCAACTAAACCTGAAATGTCATTGAAGGTGACTGCTTAAAGTATGCTTTCAATTAGCGACCCTAGGTGGAATAGTTTTACTTTCCCAACTTTTGCGAATTTTTCAAACAGTAAGGGGGATACTTCACACTGACGTATAAAATAGTGATGAGGTTCAGCATCCCGAAGCCAATACCACCCAATCGTGCAACTCTGCAGACCAGAAGTTTCAATAAGTAAAAACGAATAGAGTAAAATTAAGATTTAAAACAGCGAAAATGAGTAGGAAAACTTAGAAGCACCGCAATTTGTGTTAAATGTCTTTAAAATAGGTTAAAGTTGTGATTCCATAAGTCATTTTTTGCTATCAAAGTGCACGCAAAAAAGCCACGACTCCATTCGACGGAGCTCCCATATGCTTCACAAAATAAACAGAAATTCTCCAGACGATTAAAACCTCCAATCACAGAAATCAGAATCAATATATTAAATAGCACGACAAGTAACTTAACCATTTTCTGTCTTTCCTAAAGTAGCATTCATGATTATCGCTACACTGCCGGGGAAAACGGTGGTGTAAGTGTTCCAAACAAATCTTTTCACATTAATAATAACCGCCTACTACGCGCGAACGCGAGTCCAAGGGAATGGTTTAAAACATATTCTGTTTACAAGGAAATACGTATAACAAAGAAGATTACGCTGCAAAATGCAATATGCTCACGACAACAGCGTTAACCAAGGACGGAGAGAAACAACCATCTTCTAATACCTTGAGTTTGAAACCTATTCCGTATTATCTGATAAACTTATTTCGGACAACGACCAAGTTATTGTGCATTTTATGCTACTTTCTTTACACAGACAATAGCGTTAAAAGCATAGCTACATACGAAAACAGTGGGTTTGTCGATAAAACACTACTTTTTAAACCAGAATTTAGCGCTAGAATGGAGACCATAAGTCGCAAATAATGCGGCCAAATCGGTTCTCTTACCTTCCCACCAGAGTGGCGTACATTCCGCCACACTTCTGCTGTCAGAGGTTTGGCATTGAGGGATGGAGGCTTGGGCACCAGATAGCGCGGATAGACCATATTTTTGAGGCGATTTCGAATGAGGTTAACCGAACGTGTATAGGCCAGCCCTTTCATTGAAAAAGAAAATCATAATCAAGATCGGGATATTAAAATAGACCTTCCCCTAATTTTACATAAAATGGCACAAATCTATGCTTTAGAAGGCATGGTATTAATTTATCCCAACAGGTTCGCTTTCAAATCGAGGTTTTAAAGTTCCTGCGTGCATATTCTGTTCCTATGTACAACCACAAACGCAAAGTGATATTGGAAAGATATCAAAAAAATGAAATTGTCCTCTCAATGCTTTTTGGAGGGATTAGAGCAGGATTTTGTGGTTTAAATAATATTTACTCCACATTAAAACCGAATCAAAAACCATGAAAAAACATCTAGCTGTTAAAATATGAGCAGAAATATAACATGGGTTATAGGATGGAGAAACTCTCGATCAACTCATAAAACGTAATGAAGTTGTTAAGGGGCATCGCTCGATGTTTCAGCGATCCAAGTTACCGTTGTTTCTGATTCCCTACCACCACAAACACCTAATTTGTTGGGAGTTGTTTCATACCATCAAATTCCATACCGTACGATCACATCGTAGTCATATACTTTTCTGCAATGATTCATTATAATCGCAAAACGCCTACGAATTCACATTATCATAAGGGAGTTCATATTGATAGTGAGTGCGAAATGTTACGCATCGAGGAAGCACCAACATGCAACGAAACTCACATCCATGGAAGACGCGTGAGAGGATCTGGTGTTGCATTGTTTGATAGGTGGTGGAAAACGCATCCATTGCATTTACGGGAACGTGAGAAAGATTTTCTGTGGGTGTGCTGGACCTGCTGTCAGTAGCAAGATTTTCCATAGATAGCGTCTTGGCTTGCATGCTGTCCCTTAGCGTCGTTGCGAGTAGTCGGAATGCACTCTCTTGTTTCTTAAAGAAACATAAAAATGCACTTCAAAATCATTATCAAAATCTAGAATAATTTCAAACAGCCAAAGCTGTTTGTAATTTTCAGTATAATATAAGTCTACAATGACCTGTGGTACCCGTTTTTGTGGTCCTTATTCTAGAAAAAAAATGAGAAAACCTATAATTGACTACAAAGATCAACAAATGAAATTGCATTAAAAAGACTTGACTACGACTCAATTTTATGACAATATGATTCAGGAATAGCCAAAAATGTGACCACAAAGTATGGCATGAAATGCACGTGGTTGGGTGTGGTATGTTAGAATGATGGCATCAACGCACCCCTACAACGATCCATTGACAACTATTTCGGATGCATTACACGCGCACTGGAAAATATTTTATAGGAGCAGGCTAGCATGTGCTCGTTTAAAATTAAGCGAGGAGACTTTGACAAGATACATAACTGTTGTTACAAGTCGATCCGTGTGCCAATATTCACATTAACATTACGTAATTTCCTGTTCATGGTCAGCTCAATGACATAAGTGCACTCTTCAGCTGTAATACATTACATCTAAGGTATGCAAATATCTCAGTTTGATCCATCCGAAAGCTACATAATCTGTACCATCTGCGTATAATTTGATAAAGTGGCGTTGCCTTGTATATCACCTTACTTTTAGTCAAATAAACTTTGCTTCTGAGGTAATGCATATTTCCAAATATTTACTGTACGCACGAGACAGTATGACAGTCAAATGAGGAGGGGTGTTGGGCTACCTATCGAGTACTGCACAAGTTATTTCACTTGAGGAAAACGAGGTGGATTTTTTGTGCTCACAGGGGCGGGTGGAGTCTCAAATGTGTCGATGAGGAAACAGAATTGGGTCGGAGTTACAGACGACGGTGAGGAGAGCATCTCGCCGTTTGCTCCAGGAGATATAGGCGAAGGACCAGTTTTTGAGGAATCAACTGTAAATAGAGCATATACATGCTGATTAGCACAATACGATAATCAAGAGTAGTGGTTGCAAAATTATTCCCATTTCGAAACCTTCGATTTAATGCTTTTTTTTGCAAAAATATAGTCAAATCACTAAACAACATCATTTTACGTATTCGTCCAAATTGTAGTTCGCAATCTAAACGTTTCCCGAAGTACTTTCCATAAAAGCACTTCGCAAATTGTCGCGAATTTTCCTTTAGTACAAAGATAAAAAAGTATCAATTATGCTTTACTTGAGGTACGCACGACCGAGATCGTACTGTTGTCCTCATACACACGTTGATATAAATCCCACCGTTTTTCCCCCTTTTTATTTTTGTTTACTAATGGACACTTAATATGTGCAACGATCTTTCACTCCAATAAATTCGGTGCTTTTCATAGTGGTAAATTATTGTACTGCATGCCCAGAGTGAACCTAAAAAGTGACAATACAAATTACATTAATTACTTACTATACATTCTGAGCACATCAACATGTTACAGAACCTAAGAGGTAACTGAATACTGTCGTCCAAGACGCCATGTTGGTACTCTCTGCTTCCAGTTCATAACAATGTGTCAGGGAATGAAGGAAAACTCACCGCGAATCCTAAAGAACCTCAATAGATATTATTTGAAAAATATTCTGGACATTTGTGAAGTTTAGACCACCGTAAAGTGAAATGATGTTGGAGAAGAATAGATTACCACTTAAGCTAAATGTCACGATTGGTTTAACTGCTCCCATTACCTCTCAATGACCTCGAAGTTCCTCGAAACTTGTTTCAAAATAGATAATCCGATAGACTTTTACAAATTTCATGCACCCTATCGCGAATAAAACTTGACTAGGCTAGAAGTGACTAATGATGTTTTGTGATGGGATTTGATGACTCCTATCGAATTTTTGAACCCAAACATCTTGGCTTTTAGCTGTAAAGTGACTTACACTGCACCCAATCGGATTCTATTCATCGGAATGCAAAGGAGATAAATTCTGCCAGCTTCACACAAAATGCTGCGATATCAAAGCACAAAACAATACGTTGGAGCTGCCTCGACTCACGCAGTGGAAAACTCACAAGTGCTAAAACACAGAAGCAAACTGTGCGCGAAGCAACTCGACGATTACTTATTGAGGTGTTATTTACGGACCGTTAAGCAAGATTGTCTTTTCTTTGAGATTGGTTATTTCTTAATCATAACCAGGATGGTTGCAAGGCCAATCAGTCGGTGATTCTCGGCAAATTAAGAGACTCCATGAGGCCAATGAGATTTGTGCCTTCTTGCGAACTGCTGACCAATTATTGGGTTTATTAACTCAAACGCGACAGATCAAAGGTTTTATAACTTACGATTCTCGTTCCAGTCAACCTCATCTGTGCGAGGCTTCAGAGACCCTTTGGGTGCCAAATGTGTCTCTAGGCATTGAATGAAGGAGATGACTTGTGAAAAGGCAGGAAAAGTCAAGGGAGGATATTGAACACCGTCCGCCCGTACCAATATTACGGTTCCACTATCAGCATCAGAATCTACAAAGAACCGTGATGAAAAATGAGGGGTTGGGGAAGTCGGATGGCAGAATAGAAAATTCCTGAAGTATTACCATCCTTTGACAAATGTTCCAAGTAAATGCCTGATTTTCCCTTGCGTAAAGCCAAGCCGATAGACTTAGGCTTGATACTCTTTGAAATATGATTCAAACATTTTCTAAATGGATGATCAGGAGTTAAGTGCACGGATTCACTTTGACGGAACAACTGGCTTAAATCACGTGTCGCATAAGTACCGCACATTCCACGACGCATTATATTTGGGTAGGATTTTAAAGGGGAATATTGACTTGGAATATATGCGAATGCCAGTTCATTTTTTAATCACTTTCGATGACCAATATGGAGGGAATTTTATGGATATAAGGCTAGTGTCTAAGTTCGAGCGTTTTGATATGAAGATGAAAAGTTAGTTTTAAAGCCTGTTATACCTCCGATTCATGCTAAATGTTATGAAAGCGAGTCTCTTCACCCACACCTGAAGAAAATGAATTTGTTGTTGTTGGCATTCGCCAATTGACACTAGATGTAAAAGAACATGGAGACACCGTGAGTGGAATCACGCTGGAGACGTTTAACAATAAATCTTTCTTTGCGGAGGCACCTTACCACTAGCTGCGCACCAGCAATAATAGGGGGGGGGGGGGGATCTAAGGGCTGAACTAAGGTCCTCCGTCCCCTTCCCTCCAAGCGTCCTTGAAACCCCGAAACGTGATCTAATAACCGAGTTAGGAGCATATTTCAGCATTAAAATAACCGCTGTGCGTGGTAAATGGTAGTGAAGTTAATCGCATGGACTATCTGATTTCGTTATTCGTTGGCCGATTGACTTCCTTGGTGATCAAAAACGAGTTATAACGAAATAGGTCAATAGGATTTGGAATAAAATCTGAGCATAATTTACACAAAATCTATATATTTAGTGCATACGAAGATTGCTAAATAATTGCATAAACTTTAAGAAACTATATCAGCAGAGAAGGCTATGCAGGTACCATCTTAACAAGAAAGTGGAAGTTCGGTCACGCCTAACAGTAACGCCACATTTGTGATGCATTTGGTGATAATAATCGTGAAATTATTTATATCTGATGCATTTCACGTAACTTAAGCAATCTATCTATTTAACGAACACAACATTAAAGAGACTTCAAGTGCCCCACGATTATTTGTTTATAGAATACAAATGCTTAGATTGTTAGCTAATTATGGCGTCAAACCAGGACCAAGCACACTTATGTAAAACCTAGTGAAACTTCTGATAGATGCCATTTGGGGACAATGCACTACATCTGCATAAGCTGTATAAGTTGCATACGGATTAGCCACGAATAATTCTCCTATTTCACCGTCATTTAGTACTCGAAAATTCTTAGAATATTTAGCAAACCAGTGAATTTTAAAGTAAAAAGGATTAACTTTTGCGTATGCACGGCTTTTCAGGTAGGCCCACATTACAAGCCTTCGCTACACAAGTGTTAATATTATTATCTCACTTCTAATAATCACCCGAGAAGCCGAATAGGTAACCATAAAAGATGGACCGAAATTCCAAGAAAAAAAAACTTGAATTTCGAAGGGGGAACGGGAAAATTGCGCTTTTGGAAATTCTGAATACATACCACATCTTTTTCAGCACAAATTGATAGAAATTCGCATTTATAAAAAGGCCAAGTTTCTAAACAGTTTTTGCAAAATAAGAGGACGGGCAGCAGGCAGAGCTCATACCAGGTGAGGCCTTAACAAGACTCACAAATGGTCTTTTTTAGGACCGAAACTGCAAGTCACTGATGCCCATTTTCTTTTAATTTTCGTCTCTATTAAAATTGATAAGGGTTTATTCGTCAAATTTCCCTACATTAACTGCTGCTCAATGTTAGGGAACAATTTAGGAGTCGGTCCTGAAGTAGAGGTGTTAGTGGATTGTCAACAGAAAGATAAAAGAACTAAACCAACCAAACAAAATTTTTAAAGAGCAAAAAAACGTACAATGTCGATGACAGTGAATGTATACCACCTTCTTGATGTCAATGTCCAGGGCGAAATCCCAGTAGCTCCTAATTTTGAAAAAAAAAGTAGTACAAATTTAGAAAAAGGTCATTGTTCTTAAATTGTCAAGGAGAATAGCATTTGAGTTTGGTTAACCTGCTTTACACATAGGCCTAAGAGAAGCATAGGTCACGTTAGAATTAAAGAAATTACATTGTCATATTTAAAATGAGTATTGAACAACGCACGATTCATGTAGTAGCAGCCTAGAGGCATTGTCAGCACTACCGTAGGGTCGCGAACCACCGTGGGGACGCTGCTGCTCCTCGCTCTCCTGGGGCACGGACATGGCCCTGTTGGGCGCCCACTTCAGCTCCAGCCCAGAGTCATCGTCAAGACCTGTCTTGTGTATAGACAGATAGCCAGAGATCCGAGTGGTGCTCATGCTCTAGATGAGCGACAGGGTCAGGGTCACAATAAGCTCGAGGATGAATTTCTTGAGCTTTTCACTCCAAATCAGCATCACTATTCAAAAACCTCGGAGCACACTTTGCAAATTTTCGTGCACGTAAAGGAGGATTTCAACTTTTTTTCAAGTTTAGGCAGAGCCTCAGGGAAATCCAGATTTCAGCTCAATCACTGTTATCGCTTATGCGTAATTTCTTAGAGTCATTTAACATTGATTCCTAACATAGAAGGTAGATCCATATATTACCCGAATTCTAAGACAGCAATGCAATTACATTTAGTTTCAGCTTCCCGAACAGATGCGAAAGCTTGCCGTAATTGGTTATTGTAAAACAAGATAGTCATTAGTCAATGACAGTAAGGGTAACATGCCAGATCATTAACAGTTAAGAACCTGATTATTCTAGGGTAATCGTGTAAATGTCAAATGAAGTATGCACCCGCAAAGGAGTGACACTCCCAACAAGCAATCCATAAAGCATCTCAATACATTTCCAGTTTTAATAAAATCATGAAGGTGCGGGCAGGGCCTATACAGCAGAAATTATTCTGCCTCACTCACCGGTTGCACGAGGATGTTGTTTTTGCCATAAAGAAGTGGTGCTCGTTCATTTTGGTGGAGGGATTCGACATAATCCTTAGCCTGGATCAGTTTCTGCACCGAAAGCCCGGGTGAAAAGATGGAGTGCGGCTGGTGGTGGTAGTGGCGAACATGCGGTTCTTCTGTGGCAAAGCTGTCGAAGGTAATCCCTTCATCTGTGCAGTTCTCATCACCAGTGACCTCACTGGTTGAAGTTCTCTGAAAGGGAATGCTCAATCATGACTACTTCAAAAGGCATTCATGTCTAAGCCCTAAACACTAATTTAACTAAATGGAGCCCATTTAGCAGTCCCATTGGTTCAGCGTTTGTAGTAACTAATTAAATTCGATCAGAAATGGAAAGACAATCGGAATAAAAACTAATGGTACCTTGAAGCATTTTAACGTATGACTTCATATTATGCTTTGCAAGAATAGAAAGGAAGTGGGTTATGGCCTACAGGAGCCTTAGTGTTTACAAAGAGCTTGCTAACACTAACGAAATTAAAATAATGAGTAGGTGCACGTGACATTGTAATCACTTTTCGATTCAGTAATGAGAGGACAGTGTAGAAATTACTTTACATTAGGTGCTGCAATTTATTGGGCATGAATCGTGAACGCACCTTGAATTTTGAAGCCGATGGATAAACCTAGAGGAGTGGGTCTGTCACATGAACACGCTACAAAGGACACCACAAACACTTTCAGAACCGCACAACTTTTCTGGTAGAAAGGCGGTGGTTAAGCAAAAGTCATTAGTTCAAAAATGACGAGTCCAATATTAACAAACTGGATAAAGAGAGAGGTAACTTTCCTACGTGTGGGGTAGGTTGTACCCTAATTAGTGTTATCTCGTGATTTCTGTCACATTTAGAACATGATTCAAACGATGATACGAAGCTACTTTAAAAAACATTGTTTGAACTTTTTGCCGTTAAAACAAAAACGTGCAATTTTTAAATACCATGTGAAAACAGATTGCAAAACTTGTTAGTCACCATCTGGTTTAGGTAAACCTCAAAGGTGAAACGGCAAGTTAAATACTCACGAAAGTAGGGTATAGTTTAGAAACAGATCAATTATGACACACTCATGGTTAAGGGATAGATTCTGAGAAGACCAGAAAGACATGCCATAAATGGTGCAAATTGAAGAGTGAATATGAACCAGACCAGAGACTATAAGAATGCAGAGGCAATCTCTTCAGAGACTGCTTCTGCACTCAATAGCCTCACTTCTATAGCCTTAACTGAAAATGTGATACAAAGACACCCCGTGTGACGTTAATAGCCAGCCCATTGTTAGTGTGCTAGGCGAAACCAAGTGGCACCCCAAACTGACGATTCGACTTGAATGGATCGTCAGATTTTGCAACATGCATGAACGGCGGTTCTCGCATTGCTGTCTGTGACGGGCTTGTGGACATCAGAATGGCAACCTTCAAATATCTAGACCATCACTGATGGAATACGATTAGGAAAGTGTGCGCAGTAACCTATGGAAAAGGTGGGATAAACTCAAGCATCACAGTGAAAGCCTAGTTTTACTCATTCGGCTTGAGGCACTAGTCACACGATGACGAAATTTTAGCACTGAAATGCATTTTCTTACAAAGAGCATAGAACATTAAGTCAAGCATGAAACAATCTTGCAAAGTGCTTTTCAAAAGCCCACTATTTCATCTTGAACGATCTCCACAGGCTATGCAGTAAAACACGAAAATTAATTAGTTGGCAAATCTTCGTTAAGAGCATCCGCGAATTCCTGTGGATTTTGGGGCCAATCCAAGGCGTGCGTAGTTTTCCACCCATTACAAGTTTCGTGAACTTCTTGTTAGACTAAATAAGTAGAAACGCATTTTAAGCTCTCTAAAGACTGTTTTCGTTGTCGTCTGATGGTATAATGGTTACTTAAGCACATTGAGCTGGAGGTGTAAAAAAGTAGTTAGCATGTATTCCTTGAAATCTATACCATTCGCCATTCGAGAATTACCGTAAAGTATACAAGCCGAAATCCTCATAACTTGAATCAAAAGTAATCCATCATAAAAGAAGGAGCGATTAAAAGCATCAATTCATGGAGAAAATGCACTACAAGAATCAGTGTCTAATTCTATTGTCATGGCCTTTTTTAGTTGACAGAAACACACATGGGCTTGCTCGGTCGAAAGAGACACTTCCAAACACCTGAAATAAACGACAAAATTAAAGCTTGTTTTAAGTTAGAAACATAAATTACCCCACATTAAAATGACAATGAATCAAGATGCAAAGATAAAGTCTAAGAAAGGGTGTCAGTTTCTTTCATAAACCCTTAGGTCCAAATGGAGTAGCTAAATAGTGTGTTGATTGGGCAAGTTACTTCCGGAAAACTAGGCCAACTGGCTACAAATTGAGTTTATTTGTCTTCTAGAAATGCAATCAAATGATAAATTTGTCAAATTCCATAGTTTATAAGGCATGCACAAACCTAAAGCTCGAGTGCCAGAAAAAGGTTTCTTAATTATTCGAACAATCCGAAAATTATTCGCATTCTGAAGTCCTTTTTTCAGTTAAGTCAAAACTGACTTTCGTTGCTGCAGATAAAATAATTGCAAGATATGTTAATTTAAAATTATATCCGGAACTCTTCGAAACATTGCCGACTGATTGGAATTGGAAAAACTCAGAAAGATCCACACAACCGGGAGACTATTTAAAGCAGTAGCCTAGCAAAATTGCCTTCTAATATACTATTCACCTGCCTTGGTGATGTAGGAGTAAGCGTTTAGGGGAAAAAAATAAGCACACTCATGTATCTGCTTTTCGTGTACGATACTTTTGCCTTATACCAATCCCTCGTATGTCCCGATTACAGTAAAGAAGCATTAGCAATGTCGGCTTTAGAGCCTATTTTTAGTTATGGTGATTAGCTCCTCAAAAGATCTCTAACCAACGGAGATATCTGTGCATAACTCCCCCGAAAATCAAGCAAACTGAGAAAAACTTTGGTACCTCGTGATTTACATTCCTCAACATTCAATATTTCAATACCAAGCGACTTGCTTATTATCAATCAGAAGATGTCAATTTGAAACATTGATAGTAACACATAACAACGAAGTAAAATGTGGTGCCACTATGGTGGTATTGTCGATTTGCAAGCACAGTTGATAAAATATGGCAATAACAACTAGCAACAGCTAGACCAATGGATAATTATGTACAAAGCATTGCACCTTTCAACCAAACGCATCCCAATCAAATAGTTAATGAAGGATAATAACTACTTAACACAATGCAATTATGTTTTAAAAGGGGACTGATTGCAATAATACTGCTGTCAACAACGAAAAGTAGTGCATACTGACTTTGGAGTCGTGGACAATGGGAGGAGACGAAGAGACTTGGTAGAGCAGCGAAGCGGGTGAAATAACGTCAGGCTCGAAGTGAAGGGAGAAGATGCCGGGTGCATCAGCCGACAATGGCTGAAAGTGACCAGCGGAGGGAGCTGCCCCGATGCCCGAGTCTAACGAAAGGCGTGGGTGAGGGCGCAGGCGGGAGCGAGAGTGCTTAGGCGCTCTTTCTTCACTCAGCCGCTTTTGCGCTGCCGCCACCACTCCCCCATCCACAGTCCCTTGTTGCTGCTGTTGAGCGGTTTGAACGCCTGCGGAGTATATCATTTTCCGTTGCATCAACTCTCCTGCTGATGGATCCGTCCACAAATGATCACTTGTTCGGATGCGGGTGTAGTCGTGTGTGCTAGGTCCACCTACAAGGGAAAGACTTTAGGTCGGAACTATATTTCTACATTACCGCAACTTGAATATCCAACATTGAGCATAAAATGGAATGAAACCATCGAATGAGTTATTCTGTTTATCACTTGTAATAATTTGCTATCTTAAAACAAATTTAAACGCCAATTGATAACACCAGCAAATGTATCGCCTTCTACGTATTTAACCGGCATCTTTAAAAGTTACCGATATGTACAGTTGTTTTGAATCCATGGGTATTCTCACACTTCCAGAGCGTGCAACTTCAAGTAAACTGATTTGAAATAAACCTAATTTGTATTCTACATTCGCCATTTCTTAAGGCGATAGGGACTAGTAACCACCAAGAAGAAAAAGAAAAACAATTGGGTTTATTATTTAGGTACTGTCTGCTCAGTCCTCTTCCTACATGCATTGCATGCAGCAATGTGAGGTGGACCAATGAAGGCGATCCTGGAAACAAACCCGCCCACTCGGCCAATGGCAGTGGTGCAAAGTTGAGAGAGGACACGCACGCAAAGGAATAATGCATATTAGCGAGATCTGGAAGCGGTGAGGCAGGAAAGCGCTGCTCGAGTAAATAAGGTGGGCAAAGTTGCTTCGAGCAGATAGGCCAAGACAATTTTCGAACAGATGACAAGCAAGCACACACGCACACCCACTCACGGAGCAGGTCAGCAAAGAGTTGGCTGTCAAACGGATGCGCGATGATTGAAACACGCTCGTAATGTGATCTATAATGAAAAAGACTGAGGTTCACAAACCGTTTCTTGACTTCTATTGCCAAAATTGAAAGGCCAGAAATAATTTTTTTGGGTTGAAAATTCGCACTAAATAAGCTTCCGCACCGCTGTCTTTACAACTCCCCTGAGCTACTAAGAGGGGGAATGCTACATGCATAAATCATGCCAAACATGCGTAATGCCTCCATATTTTCTGTTCAAAATGACCACAAGTCATTAGTGGTGGCAATCACTTAACGAGTCAAGCCTCCTTTTAGATTTGAGGATACCAGCTAAAGCATCTAAAAATACCAGACTCCAGGCATTTACATTGAACTACAAATTCAAATGCCATAATTATTAATTTAATCCCTCATCATAGTAGATATTGGAGTGAAGGAAAAGTTACTGATGACAGCAAAAGTTGCCGCTTTTAACAATACGGGTGCCGGATTTAGGCAATTCCTAGTCTTTTCTCCGGAATTGTGGGGAAAAACTAGAATAGCAATGGTTCTTCCTGGAATATTGTGAAGCAAATAACGTTCAAATCTCGACTTCTATAATAAACTGTCATCATTAAAAAAGTAAAAATGTCGAAAGGTGCTGTACTGATTATAATCTGGGAACTGTACACAAAATGCTCAGAAATGGAGTTATTTGCATAAAAAATTATGGAACAAATTATCGTCAGCTATAGTCCTTACTCCTCTTCCTTTTCGTAGCTTGGTTCAACCGTGGTTCATAAAATGGATAAAAAAGGAAATAATTTGCGCAAAAAACTAACGTGGCATTTTCTACAAGGTAGTCGACTATTTGGCATAGTGACTTTTGGAAGAGGGCGATCCGTATCCAGAGGTGTTTGGGGAGGGCCCCCGAAGCAGGTGTCACATTGCGCCTAAATACAGAATAGTCTTATTACTTGAGTGCGAAAAAGCACTTCTAGTTGCGCATCAAGGTAGTCAAAAAGCATATACCGAATCTATGCGGCTCAGAAGTTACCGTATGTAGTTTAAAAAATGTTAAGAAGTTGACTTGACTGCCTCGTTTAAACATTTAATAATAGCTCCAACTGATGAACGGAGCATACGTTCAATGTTTCATCGGAATTCAAACAGACCATTTACTGGCTGCATATGTTGTGAAAATTGTCAAGTGCGGTACAACTCCATCGTAACATGTGCTATCGCTGACACGTTTCTATAAATTATAATCGGCATCCACCTTAATCGGTTAAGTTTAGCAGTCATCGTCTCATGTTCACCTTGATTTCGAGTGGAAATGTGAAAAGCAACTACCTCTTTGATCAAAAAACTATGCTCTCTCTAATTCCATCCCTTACTCCTTCTTATGCCACTCGATAGAAAAATCGCTAGTCCTGAGCGTCAGACGTAAACAAATAAAACAAGAGGCAAATAAAATACTAATAAAATGGCAAAAGTGAGCTAACCTGCGTTTCAAAGCGTTGATACGTTTATATTAAGTTTAAAAATAATACCTAATGGTTGGCAATAAGAGTTAGGTTCGCAAGGTTTTCGTAATTAATGGTACTTTGTGGATATAAATAGCTCAATCTCGAAGTGAGGCGGGGTAATCAATCGGATGTCTTACCTGACGGAGTCAGTAGAGCTAGGTGAGGTTACGTTGAAGACGTGTCCATATCCGCCATAACCGCCCGCACTTTCCTCAAACTCTTGAACTCTCCTTACAATATCCCTTGCCTCGGGAAGAGATTTCGCCACTTCTTTTAGGAGACTATAGGTAGGAGGCTCGCGGTTAAATAGCACGGGCTTTTTCAGAATCAAACCAAAGCGTAGACAGTCGTCCACGGCCGCTTAATTCCAAAAGTAACAATGAAGTCATGGGACTTTCGACATCTACAATAACAGGTCTCTCCAAAAGGATAAGAAAAAGGGAAACTGATATCCATCCAAACTATCTGTTACTTATTTTTGGACTAGCTTCACTGGCTGCGCTGAGGACCTATACTGAAATATAACCGACTTTACGAAACGGGGCTATTTCCATTGAAAACGGCTGTGAATAATCGGATGACTACTAAGTCCTATTATCCATAAGCTCAAGGTGAATTATCCTGGTTATTCTGATGAAATTTGTAAGGGATAGTTTAACACCAAAATGGAAGAAGTGTTTCTTACCACAGAAAGCAGTGATGTTGCTACTTTGTTCGTGGATGAAGTTTCGTGTGACTGATTCTTCGGCCAGAATTTTCACCTAAGAAAACATTTGTCATGAGTAGATACTTAAAGATAGTTTAGTGCAGTTTACACAGAATGTCTTTAGTTCCACAAAAATTCAGTACTTTAAGTCAAATGGTATTGACACGACAAAGCGGTAGGATTCAAGGAGGGCCTCACATTAAACCGAAAGCATATCTAAAGTGAAATAAATATTCTGCAATGTCTATGTCGAATTATGAAGGTTTTCAATGAGGGCGATCTGCTAAGATGGCGCAATTTTTTCAGTAAATATGGAAATTTGAAGTCCATTAATCGAATCATATTTAACCAATGCCATGTTAGCGCCGGTGTTCATGCGTTATGAAAAAACGGGGACTATAATGTCGGGCCAATGTGGAGAAACAGGGTCCAACTGAATTCAACTTGAATTTTCAAGTTGACTTCTGCTTATTAGTTTTCGCAAGTATTTTATTCAACCTCAAATAGTACAGAAAAGATACAAGAGTAAGCGACATCAAATTCCTTAGGTAAAAGACAGATACATTGAGAGCATCCTTGGTATTTATGACGCAAGAATTATCATAAAGTGCACAGGTTTAGCGAGAAAAATAAAAGGGGATGTAACCTTTTGTTTGAGATTTTCAATAAGAATGTCACGCTTCTCCTGCAGAATTTGGGAAACCAAGCCGGTTGGTTGATCTACAGAAAATATTGGGATGCGAGATGAAATTTTGCAGATAACATTGATACATGGATAAATAAATATTTGCCACTGACTCATCTGACCATATTTGATTGATGTTCTTCCAACAAAACCAAAATAGCTTACTTATATACTATGAGATTGTCAATGAAGTAAAAAAATATTATTTCAAGGTCCTTTGTACTTATGCTAAGGGACAGAATGGTCAGAGAACTAAAAATATGATGTGTATAAACATAAGACTTAGGCTGAATGCAAAATGCTAAGTGTGGTACAATCCTAGCACTGAAATTTGATAGTAAAATAATTCCTATGATAAGAAAATGTGGCCCTAGATCAGTGTCATATCGCATCATCCCTTTTTTCACATTTAACAGCTAAAAGAAAAAGAAGTAAATATTATTGTTAAAATGAAAGGCGTAAAGAATCAGAGAAATTAATATAGCAAAAGTAAGTTGGTTGAAAAAACATAAGAAGTGGTTAGGAGTTCCTTATATCCGTCGATTTTGGACTCACTCCATTGTTTGCGAGGAGCAGGTTTTTTATAAGAATGTTCAAACGGCTGCGGAAACAAATCGGCTGAATTAAAACAGATAATCTTAGAATAAAAGACTCCACAAAGCACGAAATTTTTTGCAGGCCCAAAAATCTGACTGATTTATGAAAGAAAACGCTAACAAAAGACTACACAATAGGTTCCACAGGAACTTCCCGAATAAAAACCATGGACTTTACCTTGCGACAATGACTTCTGTAAAGTTGAACGACGTCGGTTAACATGACGAATGTCTGCGATATAAGTGTTTGAACTAAAGATATTCTTTCTTCCGAGCGTCCAAAACCCGAAACTCCGATCCTTTGACGAAAGGCCACTACTTCCACCACCTGTTGAGGCGAACATAATTGCAAATGTACTAAGCTCAGCTTCTAGTGTATTTGCGCGTGTTGATACGCAAGTGCATTTACAATCTATAACGAAAAGTGAAAGATAAACCAAATCTTTCGGAGCTGTTAGGGAAATCAAAGATGAAGCAACAGCCAACAAAAAGGTTGTCATCACAGAAGTCTCTTATTTCAAAAACCCCTGAGATTAGGGTTAAACTGCATAAAGCTGAGTAAATACATACAAGTGGAGCGGATGGAACTAGTAAAAATTAGGACATCTGAAGAACAAAAAAACTTCCAAAAAAAAGCAACAGCTCTTTCTCATTAAACATAAATTACTGCAATGTAGTAAAAAAGTATATATAACAACTACGTAAGAATATTTTTGGCTTGATTAAGGCAAAAGATTATTTTGGACCATGATATGGCTGCAACAAACACGATTAAATTAAAAAGAATCGTCAAAAAACTGCCGTGAGCAAAAAATGTCTCTAAAAAATCTACAACCTATCCTTCCTTCAGTAATAAAAGCAAAAGAATCATATTAGTAGAAATACCGATTGAACACCCATACAAAGGTACGAAAGACCAACACCACCGAAATTCCTCGCGTTGAAAAAATAAAACAAGTTGAGGTTACATTTCAAAATCAAGTGCCTTTTTAGAAGCGACCACAAAAAATAATAAAGGACTTTTTTGTAGAACAGTAGTTTTTAACACTGTTTATTAAGTATCAAGGGAAAGTAACACTTTATCTCCTTCAAAATCGTAAAAAATTTAACTACTTAAAATTTGCCCAAATTTTTCACATACTTCGTTTTTTTGATTTTTTGGGCTACTCAAAATCTACTAGGAAAGAGGGTGTAAAAATTTGACGAGCTACTTAATGTCACTGTGCAGGCCATTGTATGCTAGAACTCTTAAATAAAATAAAGCCATAAATTTTGACTCTGCACAAATACACGTATGAACAGGCACCTAAAATTCTATTAAAACGGCAAATCTAGTTTTGTGCACAAGTAGATCGGAATGTGTGTGTCCTGCAGACAAAATCAGTCTTAGTAATCAAGTCCTAATATCAGGGAAGAATGTTTTGGCTGCTGAAAACAGGCTCTGTCTTATAACGCGTGTAGTTCTAGACAATTAATACTCTATTTCTTGTGCAATGCCCTTTGCCGAATAAATTTAGGATTACCTGCCAAACACATCGAGGCGTCCCGGGACTTCCCTGAAGACAAAAGAAAACACAATACTCGGGCAGAATATGTATATTCAGCACAGAGAAGGGGTTTGGGCTACTGGCATGGCCCGAAGGCCAGCCCGCCCTGCGAGGTACAAGAGGGCAAACCCAAATCTCAAAGATGGCGCCTCATCAATGCCGAGGGATAAAGCATCATGGTATAACAATATCTTATGGAAATGTCTTTATTCCGAAAGCTTTGATGTCATCACCTGGTTAACGCTATAGTCCCACTGCTATTTTCTGAACAATTAGCATGTACCTTACGGCTAAGCCCATGGTCAAGTTGAATGTATATGGTGTCACATAATTTGACTTCCGCATACCACTTGTTGCCAAACACTAGTAAATTTAGTTAGCCATTCCTCTGCTGAATGCTAGTTTCAATTTTTTAGCTACCCAATTTTTACCCTGGGAGATATTGTCGTGCTGCTGCAAAATAGTGGTTTCTTAATGATAATCTTTGGCCCAAGAAACTCGCAGCATCTGAAGCTTAAATTCTAAAAAGAAACAATTTTGTATTTTACTGACAATGCGAGTTTACGGAATTAATTCGTCAAAATAGTACAGACTGTGCTGAAATAGGACTTAAAATTTTGAATGGTCAATTACGTCAGCATAAAAGGCGTACGCGAATTTCATCAAAGTTGTGTAGTATCAAACCACTGATAAGAAGAGAATAGTAGAGTTGGTGTCAATTTTATTCACAACACAGAAAGACTTCAAAAACTGAATTGCATGGTAATAGTTCCAAGCATAAATACCTATGCCTAAGCAGAGTTGGAATTTCCCCCTAATACCACTTGTAACCTTTCCACAGAACAGTCTAGAGGCTAGAAACTTTGATAAAAAGTTTGTACGGTGAATACAAGTAACTCTGTTTGTTTGCGGTAATTCTTCTTTTAGTTAACAGGTGCACGAACTGGACAAGCAAATTCACCAGCTCGCCGCAATGGTGCTTGCTGCGAGAGACTTGTCTAAACTGAGAAAGTTAGTTTCATTCTCCTTTATTGCCTCCGAAAATTTTTTGGCTATTCTCAATGCTTCCTCTTTAGTAGTGTGGCTAACCCGATCACTTTGTTTCAGTCGATGCTTAGTTGGTGTCTATCAAGTTTGAGGCCCCCTTGAAGCTTTGTAGCCATACTTTTAAACAACAGCTACAATTATGAGCACTCGTTTGAGCTTTGCATCTTCCAAATTTCCAAACTACACGAACAGGCAATGTGGCTTAGCTGCCTAAGAACCTTTGCTGCTCTATACCAAAAAACGTAGTATGGATACTATTTTTAGCATAAAAGTCCATTATTCATCGTGATTTCTTTGCTTATAATTGCCAACTTGATCTAATACTCTCTTCCTTATATGATATTGTTCTGCTAAGAGAAGATTATACCACAATCTTACTTTGTTGTCTCTAGTTTTTTGTTGGATGAACAGTCAAAATTGGAAACGTTTTCAGCATTATCAGAGAATTTTCAGGAACTTTTTTTGAAGGGCGAATTCTTTGGTATTGGCAAATATCTTGTAGGTGATTTGTGTGCTTAAGAATGACCCCTTTTAGGTTTCCCTTCTTAATAATGACTTATTGCCGGATTCCGTTTCTAAGACGCTTGCTATTTTCCTGCTGTGGGATATGTATAAGTCGGAGCATCTGGAACTTAACCCATTTTTTCCATTCATTTTGAATTTCCTTGTATGCGTCTGATTTTATTGTGCATTATGCTAGAAAAGTGAGAAAGCCTCAGAGGACCCTTTGCCGTATCCAGTGAAAATATTCATGCATGCCCTTATGCTTCATCCGGATCGAAGGAATGATGTAAGTTTCGCTTACCTCTTGGATGTTCAATTTCAGCTCTTAAAGACTACACTGTTGCAATTACTGAATATGAATACTGAGACGACTTCACCAAAGACGGTAATTCTCACTTGTTTAAGAGCTATTTTAGTGTGACTGGTCGGTTTTTGGAAGTTTGCTTCATAAGCGTTCGCTAAAGATGCCTAAAGTTGACTCGTATGGAATTCCCTGTGTCCTTCCTGACGAAGAAAATGTGGGGTACGCGCTAACGCTACCGTTACTGTCCAGTTTAGCCATCCGCTGATCCGAAGCTAGCGTTTCTTTCAATGCATGGGCAGTTAGAACACCCATTTCTGGAACTAGGGTTAGGCTAAACATCTATCGATACATCGATCTGTAGAATGAATTGGTCCTCAGAAATAGCGATGGAAATGTGTTGTTAAATGAGTGGCAGGAGACACGGCTCGTGTTGCGTAAATCATGGAACGGTGCTTATCTACCTTCCCCCTATAAACGTATATTCGACTGGTAACGTATTCTACACTGCACACACGAGCGTCCCCACATCCCGCTTAGACTTCTCCTTCTCAGGTATTAATGTAACCCGATTGTGATGGTAATTTACTTCATCAACAGTTCCTTTTACAGCCATGCATTGGATCTTCAACGCAAACGCTGTTTCGAGGCCCTACTTACCGACAGCGAGCTGCTGTCTGCTTTTCTTCAGCCACTTCGTCCTAGTTTCCTTCGACTTGCCCCGCCGCTGCTGCCCTGTCCTCAGGCCGGCGCCACCACTTTGAACTCGCTCGAATTCTGGGCCGAGGAGCTCGTGTGGCTCAGCCCCCCCACACTCCAACACACCTTTCATTGGGATTCATCCATGGATCACTCCACCCCCCCTCCCGAGGTCAGCTCATTTTGCCAAATGTCCGGTGTCTGAAACGGTGTAAGGCGTTATGTTTGAAGTCTTCTCGTTAAATTTCTATCGTACAGATTCAGCAGCTCGCATCACTCGCATTGTCATCTCCCTTATCACCATCGCAAAAGGAACAACTTGTTCGATCAATTAGTCAAAATCCCGGTTTGATAAACGGAATCGGTCTTCTGAGTGAAAACGTATGTCTTCAATCCTAACCACCTAATGTTTTTCCATCATAGTTCCCAAATTTGGTCAATCACAATCCAATGGCTGCCTCTGAGATTCTCAGAGCACTGTCCCTCCATGCGGAACTAGAATCGTAGGTTAACACCAGAGTGGTCACATTGCTCTCTAGGTTTTTGGATGTTTTATCAGAAATGGACGTCAACGTACACTCGCTGGAGGTGATTAATCAAATAGCGTCGCACATGCCTTTGCCGAGGAAATTCATTCTCAAGTGCATATCTAATTTCATAGCAAGATGCCAGAGCACCCAGGATAAGAGTTCGCAGTCTCGTCTCGCCCGACTTGTTTGTCTGGTCATTCAGGCATGGGTGAGGAACAAGATCCTCGACATCACTGGCACTGTGAGTCTATTAGGACCTATGGAATTGTTGCATCCAAAGTCAGTACGGGCTTACACGAAACACGGTCATTTGGACTGATGGCAAAGCGGCAGGTGGTGTATCGCCTGGAAGCATCGCTTTTTACGCATTCTCGAGTTTGGGCGATTTCATGAAATCATTGGAATTTTCCATGCAATTTTTTTTTAGAATATTTTGGTCGAAATACAGTCATTCTGTCTGGAGTTTAACAAAGTCCGTGAAGCCAACGCGCTCTACAGACTCATAAAGAGTATTGAAGCCGCTGGAACTTCGGAGAACTATGGGAACTCCATTGGAGATGCGCCGGCTGAAACATAATCGTATTTGTACACAGTTAAATTAAGCCAAATACCGAAGCACTTTTTTGAAATTGGTAATTCTTGGTTGTATTTTGTATGTTTTTCCGATAACAAAAAACACTAGCACGGGGACAACTTCTGCTTTCAGTAAAGCTACAGAGTTCTCAATGCCTTAGATTCTGTATGAATTCGACTATTTTGTGGGGCTCTTCCATGGCTCCCTGTCCAACGTCGCCACACATCAGGGTCTTGCGTATGGGGTCAATCATGATCCAATTTAGTGTGTTGCAGAGAATGCCTACCTGACTTGAGGTTAAGGGATTTTCCCACATGGAGGTATTCATCGCAGGGGCGAAGATGCCGACTTTCCTCCGGTGATTCGTTGTTTCGTCAAAGTGCCATGCACGGGCTATACAGGTGAGCAGGTTGTCACAAAATCCTCCAGCAATTTTGGCTAGTGTGTTCGCAGATAAAGGGGCAATGAGGAAAATATCGGCCCAGTCCCTTAACTAGACCCTTAGGTTGCGGTCGTTATTTACCTGAACGTGGAAGACTGGGTCGCCGCGATTCTTCCAACAGGCATACTCATCTGCGTCGGTATAAACCGGAACTCCGATTTGTGATTTCTCGAAAAACCGACACGCGTTTGTCGTAGCAACGACCTTCACATTGAAGTTCGATTGCATGAGACATGAGACCAACTCCACCGCCTTTATAGCTGCGACACTACCGGTAACCCCTAGGAGAACATTGCTTCCATTTCCTTCCATTAGAAAGGCCCTTAACCAAGTCACTGGGACCATCAATCACCTAGTCGTTACAATCCACCTCTTCTTGGAGGTAATTTGTGCGGGATAAATTTTTAGAGGCAATGTATGGCAATAATTATGTTAAAAATTACATTCTGCGACTTTAGGGCCGAAGTCACTCCAAGAAAGTCAACAAAAAGCCATAATCCCAAAATTTCAACTAATTGAATGTGCATTTATCAAGATTGTGGCAGAAGAATTTATATTTAAATTAAGAAAAACTCAAAGACTAACGTCATTTTTTTTCTCTCTTTGTGTATAATTGTAAGAAAGTGATTGGACAGTAGCAGGGAGCCTTATTTGCGTACCTTTGGCTTCTGTTTCCTCCGGCTGATACGATGTCTGTGGATCCGAAATTTGCAAATATGCCATGGATTGTAGGCACACATTTTTTCTATTTTTTTTTTTGATCATAGGCCCATGACGAACCAGATGTGTACGAGACGGACGATTTACCGGAGGCAGACCAGAGAAAGTCGGAGGTATTCTTATTCATCTGTAGAAATGAGTGAGTTTAGTCGAATGATGTAGAACAGGTTCTACCAAAGGAAATTGAACGGACATCCATATCGGCTGATAAGGCTCGTCATCGATATGAGCATTGTAAAGTTGATGCAGCGAATGTAGGTACGTGTTAATGCATCTGGCCTCTGCTACTATTTTTCACTTGAACGGGAGTAATTGCTTATTTTTATGTGAGCATAGTCACCTTAAATTTATTTTTCATGTTTCTGCACAGCATGCTTGTCTTATTTGAAAATATCGTATGTATAAAGCACTTGGTTCTCATAGATTTCTCTGACAAAATCACTGGTTCGGGCAAAGTTGGATATGCCGTTGAAAGTCCTGAGTATGTGTCGGTATGTTCTAGTTTACGAGGTGATCTTTTGATCCCTATTCATCGTTTATTATGACCGATACATAAGGCAATAACTAACATGTTCAAATAGTACATTTCGTTTGTTGTAGTGACAATGCGTACTGGTTAATGTGGACACTAATCTCCAGCAATTTCGTGGTTTTTAGAATGTGGATGGTGAGAAGGAGTCGACCCTTATCGCGCGTTTTCAGTCTTTGCAGGCAGAGGTGTGTCGGCTCATCGACGACACGGAGGCAGTGAAGAAAGAGGCCGGAGCAGCAGCAAGAGTGGGCGAACTCACCGTGGAGCAGATCTCGACCCTTGCCTCTTCGCTGAATGCCCAATTAAATGAACTTCAGTTGGAGGAGATCTTTGGTTCCGATTTGGACCTGAGTGATCTTTGTGTTCATGACGCCCTGCTGCAAAAGCAAGTGACCTTTTAGCAATAATCTAGTCTCTTTTCATGAGCCTTGTCATGTTGAGACTGTGAACAAGCTAAGCGTTAAAATCGGAATTTATAGTTCGGCCAAGGAAAGTTTACGCCTATTAGATTACCTCTTTAGGTGTTAGTATGTAGCTTCAGAGCTTTTTTATAAATATTCTGGTAGATCCTTCAATGAGAAGTTGACTGTACTGGTATGACCTGTTGTACTGATCTTCCGATCTAGTAATATCACATTGCGAACATGCCTGCGCATATATTATTACCTATTTATTACTTAAATCCTATATGAGCATCACTTTTGTCCTCTCTTCAAAGGCGATTGTATGAACAAATCGCAAATTTCAAGCCTAAGCAAGCGCCACGGAAAGACGAGAGGCCCGGCGAGTGCATAACTTTTGAGCTTTATTCTAAGCCGTCGGACAAAATTGACGCTACTACTGAAAAGGTTGTTGGGTGTTCTCTACGCCGTAAAATTCACAACCCCTAATTTGCCTTTTAAAGAAGATTTATTGGTATCATAATATGTTTTCATTGATTATACAGTTTTGGTTTCACGTAGCATTGCACATGCGGATATTATACATCTACTTTAGGTTCGGCATTTATGTATTCAATTAAATCCTGTATTTATTAGGTCTTAAATCCAACCTCCTGAAACCTGTAATGTTCACAGGAAATAGCTCCCAAAATTCCCCGAATTTAGTAATGGTACTATCTTTATTTATTTAGGATATAATGAAATGGATTCCTGTTTTCGGATAATATTCAATCTTATTATAGGCGATTTTACTTGAACTTTGTTTTGAATGTTTCCAATAAGGTGTAATAATTTACAGTCAGCGCATGTGTAATCCAGGGGGAATAAATGTTAGTCCTTTTTGATAGATTCTGTCACCTCTTATCCTTTCTTGGATGTTTCAAATGATTCTTGTCTCTTCCTTACCAACCGCTATGTCAATTTGCATATTTCCCTTGTTGTGGGAATTAGATATTGTTACCATCGATTCATATCTGGTATGTGTTTGTGGCTGTCATGGTAGACTCTGGAGCTGGATCGTCGATTGCAGCGTTTAGAGATGCTCGTTGGTTCTCGAGAGGTGACTGCAACAGGTGCGGGTGGACTCATGGAGACCGCTGCACGACTTTCAGAACGAGTTTCGTTATTACAGCCTAGCTACCTGGAGCAGGTTGAGGCGCGTATAGCCACACTGGAAACGAGGCTTGCTGACGTCACTAACAATCCCGAAAATGTTGTGCTTGCTGACGCCGACAGCCAAAATAAGGTAAGCTGCGTCATTGTAACATTCTGCATTCATTGAACTTTTATGTTTGTCCGACTTGATTTGGGATCACCTATCCTTGCAAACACAATATTGAGGTAATTTGTTTGATTGAAGAATTTTGGAATTTTGGCATCATTTTACCCTCATCTAGGAGAAGCATTAAAGTACGGCTAGACACACTTGGGTTACTCTCACCGACCTTCATTACTTTCAGATTGCCGAGCTATTCGAGATTATGAAAAGGTGGAATTCGTTCTCCGCTGATCTTCCAATAGTTATTGACCGCCTCAAGGATCTGCAAACTTTACACGCTCAGGGTCCGCCTTCGATCAACACTTTACATTTTCTTCCATTTTTTCATGCTCCAGCATGAATATAAAAACGCCCAAGATTATGCGTCAGTAGGATACCAGATTCACTCCTTATACCCGTTTTTGAGATCGTTAATTTATTCCCATTTGTAGATATTTTTAAATAGTGCTATCTTGAAATCCATTCGTTGCGGATATGGCATTATAATGTTGCTCGACAAAGGCCCAATCAGTTCTTTCATCTTTTAGCCTCTGAATTTAGCACCACCCTGGTGAATATGGAGATAGCCCAGAAAAGGATAGATGAAAATCTCGCAACTTACGGCTCACAGCTCAGAAGTGTAAGCTGCCTTCCTTCTTGAATAGCTTTTATGCGCCTGGCCGCACTTTATCCAGATTACCTAGCATTTCCTTGGATTAGATTTCTTCCATATTAGTGGACTTCTTGTCTAAATTTCGTTAAATTTCACCGTGACTTTCGATTTTCGCAACTTTATTTGTGATTGAATACAGCGACAACTGTCAATTTCAGTGAGCAGCCATTCCTTCAAGAATCAAATGTTTATAATCTACTAGTAAAACCACATTATGACCTTTATAGGAAGAATAAGGGAAGTTGTGTGCGTTTGGTAGGACATTCACTTATTTGTGCTTGATTTCTTTTCCGTTCTAGGTCCAAGAATCCCTTTCAAATGCCTTGTCAACCTTCAAGGAGAATACTGTGGCTATTGGAAAGGCTATGAAGTCGCCGTAGCCCCCCTAAATCGCCGGTATATCCTATCGTCATGGTTTCGTTAAGCTCGTCATACTCTCACCCATCTCCATACTCTTCTTCCTACCCCGCTTTCCCCAATGGATAGGGTCACACGTTCTATTTGCACCACATAATTATGTATTGGATCAGTGTGAAGTCACATTGCACATCGATTACGTCTTCCAACGGGGGGAAAGTTGGTATTTATGAATGTAAGAAATTAATTACGCTGGGTACATTTTGCCTACTTTACAAGGCTGTACTCTATTTAATGTTGCCGTCTCTCATGGGAAAATTTGTCTTCATAGACCTTTGCCTTCGCTTGAAGTTTTTGCGTTAGTTGCTTCATATTCGAAATTTCGTGTTTTTTCAATTCCACGTCGTTGACTGATTGCTCATAGCCTCGAAGCATCTCTGGGCGCCCCAGAAGGCCGCACGCCCGCACCAGCGCCGCGTGGTTGGCTCTTAGGGCATCACGAACCTGCTTCAGCTTGGCGAGGGTGTCACGGCCATTGCTGGACTTCTCTGCCCACAAGTTTAGTTGGTCCTTAAGTTGTGAGTTTTCCGCCTGACAAAATTGCAATTTTTCATTCGCGTGTGTAATCATCTGTACCATATTCGTTATTTTACGGCGTAGTTTACTGGTCTCCTCATTTCTCTCCTCTATCTTCTCATTGTAGGTTTGATTCTCAATTTTCATCTGTTCAAAATCTATCAGATGAAGACTTTCAGATAGGTCGTATGCCTTGAATGCTGCATTTATTTTTTCGACCTGTCTCTGTAATTTCAAATTTTCCAACCTCTCAATAGCAACAATGGCTGTTTTCCTTTGCCACGCTTCAATTAAATTTATATAGTGCTCTGTGGGTAAGGGACGACCCGTTCTGGAGCTAATGGCTTTCTTTCCCTGGCCCAGTAGGAATTCAGCCAACTCTGCCTGTTTATTTGTGGCATTATTGCTTTTATGGTTGGACAACTCCTTTAGCGAGTTTATTTCTTGTTCCAAGCGTTCCTTTTGTTCCAAGAACTGGTTGCGCACCTGGGCAAGCGTTTCCATGTACTTGGCGTATCTCGAGGTGTAGTCTATACCAGTATCAATTATGCTGCTGGTCATGCTGTCAATATTTGAATGTGTGGTGTCACCGCCCTCTACTCGCCTTCTGCGAAAATGTTCTGACAGCGTCGTCTGAAGTTGCATGTTCAAATGCCCCGCTTTGTGGCGGCGTTCAAGCAGTGCTTTATGCCGTTCCAGTAGCTCTTCTCTACGACATTCATACGCACTATCTAAAGTAGCTGCAGATGTGACGGTGGTGAAGTTAGTCCTGTCCGTGCTATCATCATTGTTGTCACTACCGCTCACCAATGGCTCATAATCAAGCTTCTTCAATTCGTTCTCACCGTTATGGTCTTCTGAAGTCGTTGGAGTAACTACTTCGACGACACCAGAACCGTTAATCTTCCCTATCCTCGGAGGCAAATCACTTTCGGTCGGAGGTCCACCTCGCCGGATATCGTTTTGTTCTAGCAAATGTTCACCTTCAGTTCCGTCCACCACTTTATTCTCGCTTTCGTCCTTTTTGTCGTCTTCTGGATCATTTTGCAGGAGTGTGTCGGGCTGTTCCTTGTTAGGTGAGTGTTTGGGGCCCATGCCATCTAGAATGGCTTCATGTCCACCAACAACTTTTTGGGGAGTGTTTTCAAGTGGATGATCTGAGTATCAAAAGCGTACGCACCCAATTCAACAGACTTATTTCAAAACAGGTCTAGTGTTTCACTTTAAGACTAATCAGCTAAACTCGATGTAAAGGGAATGATAGTATGGACCCTAAAAAGCCCTTGAGGGCATTATGCTTCTGATTCTTAAAAGTATGGGACGATTATCTTACCTTTGATTTTCATATCATTAGCACTTTCGTCATGTAAGCTAGGATTGGCGGTAAACGGACTAGAATCTTTGCTGTCCGTCTTTTCATTTGGAGAAATCTAAGTGCCATAAAAATCTGTCGAGGGGAACTACTTCGATGACTGAGTCTACGGCCGACATTGCAGATGAATTGCTATTTTGTCAACTGACTGGTTGCTATGACACTGACGATCTAATGCGCTTTGAGGGTGACGGTGGTACTCGAAGTTTGCTAACTGCGTTACTTTTAAGGCAATTAGTTTAATAATGTGGCTGATAAGGTGGAGGGCGGTGCAACTTGTAAGCCAATTCTTATAATTAGATGGTCTGTGTCAAAAAATCTTGATTTTCAGTGATACTAAAGATTCCTTATAACTAGTGCAACAATACATTCTTTAAAGGCATATTCTGCATCAAGAAGGGAAAACATTTGTAGCACCTTAATTACTGTTCGCATCTCATTGCCCTGCACTTTGTTTTAGTTAACCAAAGGCATTCGTCCCTGGCGATACACCAGTTCACGTTACCGTAATGCGTTGTATCCGTGGCAAATGCGCTATTATAGGTTTGAAGTACCTTGCATTGATCTTTTAGGCCATCAAGCCGTGGGAAAAACTGCTCTTAGTAACGCTTTAGTGGAATCACGCAAGGAATTCCCCTACTCATATAGGATGGTACTGTGGCTTTATCTATCTATACTCCAAGACTGTTGTTCCCAAGCTTAACGTACGAAATATTCACCTTCAGGACGTCAGCACAGATGTGGTAATTCGAATCACTAGTACTCACTGCTTTAAGGAATTTTTGATTTATGATTATCCCGGAAGCCCCGTCTACCATAACCTCTTCGAGAAGTTTGTAAGTTTGTGTGATACTAACGAAATGTAGGTTGGCACCACTGACGTATTCGTATTGATGTTCGATGTTACGGACCGATCGAGTTTCGAAGCATGCCCCCTGTGGACTCAAAAAGTAAAGGAACTAGCCAAGAACAGCAGTGTCCCAGGTATATTTACGGCTGATACAAATATTCGCCAGGCATTCTTATTGGTAACAAAACTGACCTAATTTCTTTACGTGACGTCACCGAGACTGAAGCCCGGCAGTTCGCAGAGGAAATTGGTATCAAGTATTGCGAATTATCAATCGTAAGCCCTACCACACACGAATCCACATTCTGATGAGAGAGAGAAACTAATATGAAATGCGGTCCTATTTACACACCCCGTTTATCGTCTAGATTGCATCACATGCTGAAGCCACAGATGTGACGTTAAACAGCCACTCTTATTTTCTAGAAAGAAGCGCGGAACGTCCTGGAACCCTTCAATATTCTAGCACGCGACTTTTACAAACTATACCAAACTACAGCTGGCCAATTTAGAGAAATGTTGTAATTCAGTTTTAGGGTAAAAAGGCCCTTAATCAAGAAACATTATCTGATGGGCTCCTTACGTTGGATCAGTGTTGGTTGTTATCCGAGTGGTGCTACGACACTTAAACAAGCAAAACCAATCCAAACAAGCCCACCTCGAGAATATCAAAAGCGTGGTCAATCTTACTGACTAGTACATCAAAACTAATAAAGATCGCCCTTGATGCGTGGGCCCATTAAGCATTAACAGCGTGTTCCCTCCATGTTGGCTAACTACAATCCCCAGTAGCCATATAATCACTTTACATTGAAGTTTATAATGAATTTCATAGACATAAGTCGGTCCATTGATTTAAGGTAAGAAATACTTCCTCTATAAAACTCAAATAAATCTCCCCAGATTTGGCTGAGGAGCATCCAATGGGGAATGAAACGAAGAAAATAGTTCGGAGGCTCGTCAGTGCATAGTAAAATATAGGGTTTTTAGGCATTTGGGGCATAATTGAAGCTGCTACAAATAAATTCAGCGATAATTTTCCCATTTGATCAAAACAATCCTTTCATAAGGGCTCTCACCTAACGCCGACTACGTTTCCTTGACGCAGAATCGAGTATGGAGTCATCAGACTTGAAGGGAGGTCGTTTTCCTGAGCGGCCGGTCGATCTACAAAAGAAAAGGCGAGGACATTTTAAGCCCTGCGGTACTACTTATTGCGGTGGTATAAAGGCACTTAGTGTGGCAATTTGTCAGTTTTCTTCAGTGTCATAACGGCACATTTGTGGTCCCCACTGGGATGTCCGGCTTCTGTGTACAGGGAAAATAGCTACTTGAGGACCGACTTCAGAGATTATTAGGGCACCGAGCCATTCTGGCTCAAAACTGGAAGAAGTGTATGGTACACACAACTGACCTGTCGGAGTTGCGAGTGCTATCCCTGTCAGCGGCGTTAGAGTTAGCGTCGTAGTCAGAAAGGGGAGAAGGAGGCAGAGAGGCTGAGGCGTGAGGCGAAACAACGCCGCGGATGGCCGCAGTAGTGTCCGAGAGCCAATGACGCAGCAAACCCTGTGTACCGAAGAAACGTACGAAGGAAGCCGAAAACTCCTGGTAGAGGTCCTCCAGACCCGCCACTATCCGCCGACGCCTGCTCCCGAAATCACCAAGGAAGTGACTACCCCTCTCCACTATTGTCTGAATGTTGTTCTCTAAGAGCAGCTGCTTTTCCTAAACAGTAAAACCAATTAGTCACTTTTAGTTTCAATCTTGCTCATCCTTATTAGACTAGATAGATATGCACCTGTGAATGCATTAAAAGCATTTCAGTTCACGTGCGCTATCAGAATGAAAGCAGATACTCAAGGCTGGAGTTAGATATTTACGAAGTGTAACCATTGTGACCAAAGCCTGACGTTGACTTAGATCTCCATTACACACATAAAAACACATGAGGGAAACGTACAGCCCACTGCGCAGGATCTATGGTAACATACAGGGTTGTTTGTCAGGAAAATAAGTGATTTCAAGCTATTTGGTTATCTAGGTGGAGAGAAATCAAGAGGCGATGCGACGGCAAGTACGTTTACAAAAACATGCTTTGTTAGCAATTCACTGGGTTTTTCATTTGAACAATAACACGTCCATACGATTTTTCCATGAAAAACATACCTTGACATAGCTAATGTTTAAATCGTGCCGAGTTAGCCCACGACTAATGTTTCGTCTGAGATAAACATCATAATCTTTCAATATCCGTGCAATTACATCTGTCGTCGATATTCCTTCACTTCGTTGTGTTGTCAAAAACCTGATGAAAAAAACATTCACAAATCAAGCAAAGGTTGGATTGGCATGCTATTTGAAAAAGGGGAATATTTACATTCCAGCGTCCTTAAAAGGTTGATATATATCATTCAACCGGTCACCTGCGTATGGTATGTCGTCGTGAGCAATGAAGTCAATCTAGGAAATAAAACATTAAAACATCCTAAATTTCCTTACATTTATAAATTCTGAGGTCATCGGGAAAAGGAGGGAATTCTAGTTTCGTTTAAAATTAACAGAAAAATAACTGGCAGGAAAACAAGAGTTGCTTGTCAAACTCTAAATAAAATAGAACTAAAGGCGTGTGCTGTAAAGTTGCGTAGTGTTTAGCCATTCCCTAACAAGTACACTCAATGAAAGAACCGCCTCACTTAGGCCGCTCACAAAAACTAATACACGACCAAAAATAATAGCGTTAACTGTTACTGACAATAAGCAAGTACTGCCCTCGATGATCAAACGACAGAATAGGAGGGAAATACAAACCCTACACACAGGTATTGGTTGCAGGAAATCCAAACTAGAACAGTGGTGTTTGGATAGAAAACGAGCTTAGTAAGGGCAAATAACAAACGAATACCTTGTGTAACCTTAGGAAATCGATGGTGCACTCCCAAGGGGCAGCCACGATGACCTCGTCCACATATCGACAGTGCCGGACAGCCTCGTAGCGCTCGCGCTCGTTCATCACAGTCTGACCCTTGTGGAACAGGGTGTCTGCGTCGCTGGTCACTAGAGCCAGGCAACGACAAACAGAAAATAACCACAGCCAATGAGATGTAAACAAATACGGAATGGATCAAATCAGACTTGTTGAATCCCTCTGAACGGCCAATACGAGGCGTGATAATGACACGCTGATGCAACAAAAATCCGTGGTGTTAGAACGATTAATCTAACGTGAATGAGCGTAATCGACATCGTTCAAATTAGCTGTCTCAAATTTTCTCATGTAAAGCACCATTTTAAGATGGCCTTCGTGGATTGTTTTTGATTACGATGTCTTGTGTAAGCTGTCACATTGACAGAAATTGCATCGCGTTGATCTTTTTGCGCCAATCTAATCGCACTTGGTGGGTTGCTTACGTGAGTCTTAAAGAACCAAGCGATCGATGTGAGTACTGGGGCACCTACGCAAATAAGTGATGCCAGACAATAAAATTAAGACAACCATCACTGAAATTTGGCTCATGGAGGGTCGGAGTTAAGGAATAAATAGGGTAGTTGTCAACGAATTTGTAAATTGTCACATTGACAATTCAAACCCAAAAACAACAACCCTTATTTCAAAAATTATTCATTCAGTTTCCTTAATTTCCCACTAAAAATGGGAAATGTAATTCTGAGATGGGTTTACCACTGTTTACCAGCTTCTGAATAGCAATACTTATAAACTCTGCTTTTCATTTGACAACGCCTGCATTCGTAAAATGCACTTATGCCCATAATGAAAAAGGGAAAGGTCAGGAAAAAATCGGAAAAAATCACGATTAAGGGGTACGCAGTTCAAATGAGCATGAAACCCACACAAACACCCAAATTTGTACATCACAAACGGTCACGCAAACAGCTCTCCTATCTTCATAGTTAATTTAACTTATCTAGTTGCTGAGCCATCGATGCTGCATGTCTAAAATAGATACAGCCGTTCATGTTCACTCACATCACCGGAAACGCTTATTCAAGCATGAAAATGTGCAAATGAAAGGACAAGCCGACTTCGACAATGAAACAGAAAGTCAATATCCACGGTTTAAGCCGGAGGTAAGGGTAAAATATGCTCAAACAGCCGCTAAACAGGTCTGTTCACTAAAGGAGAGCGCAGGGGCTTACCGCCGACAATGAGGTAAGTGTTCGGGATGGCGTTGGAGGCCTGCATGAGTTGACGCGCGTGACCTGAGTGAAACATGTCGTAGACGCCATCTGCGTAGACGCGTACACGACGCGGAGCTGGATAAATAAAACGGCTTTTATGGGTAAATTTGCGCCACAAAGAGCATCCGCGATTCTAGAGCAAGTCCATGAAGTGTAAAAGCAGGGAAATTACCTATGGCACCCAATGCTCAGAGGTCAACATTATCGAAGAAACAGAAAGCAGGAAATTGGAAGCGGATCGTTAGACCGACCCGATGGTAATGCGGCTAGAAGATGCGGACAAAGTTTCCAACGAGCTCGAGAATGATAACTGTGATGTACGAATATAAGGGACATTTTGCTGTTTAATTTCAAAATCCACATAGAGGCGTTGTAGCGGAACCTAGACAGATCACAAAAATGTAGCGGGCTAGGTTTGAGAAAAATTAATCCACACCAACAGAATGAAAGAGAGGATGGAAGGGGTTTGTTTACTGTGATGAAACTTTATGACTCCAATGACAGGTACGAAGTACGTCATTTAATGTTTTGTTTTGCTTTATTTACATTATTGAGGAAAAAGGCTTGGGCTGATTTGAATTGACAGATCGCCTGAAATTTGTGCAAGGTTATAAATGAAAAAATTAATTAGAGTATACTAAAATGAATCTCAACTACTAAAGCTGACACAGATGAATTTGAGAATGTAAAAGGTGGGACTCAGAGGGCAATATTTGATAATTGGATAATCGATAGCACGGAAACCCACTTGACCTCTTAAATAGCTTTGTCTTTTGAAGGGGATTTTAAGCATATGAAGGCGAATTATTTGAAAGAAATGCACTTTACTGGGAATTATATGCACGTGACATTATCTCAGATCAGAAATACACAATGAATTTGAGTCACTGCGGTCAGCAACATGCAGGTAAAGCAAATTCACTTATTCAACCATCCAGGAAAGTGGCATAAATTGAGACCAGTGTTAAAATACGGTACTCCAACACAGGAGATAAAGAATATCTAAACGATCTTTTCAGGTATAAAGACTTTGGAATTCCGTGGCCTACATAAGATTGATTTTACAAAGGGTCGAGAGACTAGGAGAATGAAAGGACGTGGCACAGAATGGCACTAAACCAAACGCTTAGATCGAATGTGTTATTCACTTGGACGGAATAACCAATAGAGCACAAATAACAAACTGGCACTTATTTTGATATATCGTCGTCTGTATTGTCTTATGGTAATATCATTTTTTACCCCTAATGCTGCAATGCCTTTAAGTTCATCAAAATAGCTTGGAAAAACGGATAAACTGATGCATGATGGACAAGATTTGACTGCATTACGATTTCCAATCATGCAACAATAATATAGTGAAAAAAAAAACAAACCCATCCACCGGGGAAATATGATGTATCAAAAATGTACTTTTTATTATAAAAAAAAACAAAATAAATGACTATGTACGGCCGACGATAGCTTACCCTTCCCAGACTTTGCCATTTGAAGAGTAATTTTCGTACTGTAGTCGCACTCCTCCAGAGCCCGAAGGGCAGCAGGTTCGTGTGAGAAGGGGGCCGGATGTCGCATTTCGCGCTTCTCCTGGTCCTCTGCAAGGCCGTTCTGCTTCAGTTGTGATGTCACCGCCGTCCCCCATCCTCCCTGATCATTCACGCCACCGAATCGATGCTGCTGAGGCATAGGTTTGTGCCCTAAAGAGCAGTAAAGGCAAGAGCGCCTGTGATATAAAATTGAACAGCTTGTATAGAGCACAGCCATTGGGCATGGCAGCCGCATGGTTTATGGTTACTTAAAAGAATACTCGAAGGTAAGTTCTTTTGAACTGAATGCTGAATACCAGCAGAAAATTTATGGTGGCTCATTTGTCGGAGGGCTATGATACGAATGGATTTTAGCAAAGGTTAAGGCAACGTGCATATGGTTCCAGTAAATGAAGTGCGAAGGCACCCAAATCACATCGCCCACTTACCACGGCAACAGCGTGAATCGGAACTGATAATCAATACATCATGGACTTTAGTGGCACCAGCACCCCTAAAGTCACACCATGCATTAAAATTCCCGTACCGCTATTTTACAACAGTGGCAAACGGTAATTGAAAGTTCCGCTGCAATAAGTAGTTTAAGCTGGACATTCAGAAAATGAAGTTAACATGGACAAGGGGTGTAATGACAAAGCAAACCAAGGATAGGTACACACAAAAGCATAGTCCAGAAGCAATACAACACACCAGAACAGAATGTTTGGTCGAAGAGCAATTTACTAGCATATAATAATTTTGCTTGTAGGTATAAATGAGAGCATGAAAAGCAAATCAGTTGGAAGCAGTCAGCAAAGAAAGAGGCTCATGGAGGTTCTCCGCCAGTAGGCTCATCTTTGCGCGCATCAAGGCTAGACTGATTTTCTTGGAGCCGTATATGCATATAATGACGGAGGCAACCCTGGTGAAAACAAGCCTTCCGTTGGTTAATTCAACGATTATTTCTTGCAACGACTCCTAGAAACGACCGTACAATAGTAACATGGTTTCAAAGAATAAAAAAACATTTGGGTGTATGATGGTAGAGTCTACCTCTTGAGTACAAAGCTTCCATCACTTTACGGATACGATAGCCAACTAAGTCAGTGCTGAAATTCACGAGATCAGCTATGCGCTCTCACAACGAGACGTTTTCGCAAAATCCAAATAGCTCAAGCATAAGCATGGGAACTTCAAACTTTTGAGCCAAATATGGTATGAAATGAGACGACAGCAAGTTATTAAACTCAAAGTCAATAGAAAGCTTGACTTAAAGGCAGTACTTCAACGATTACTGGGTATATCAACACGATGAAAGTAAATCTACAGTAAATAAGTGGAAAACGAACAATGTGAGCACCACTGACTTTAAAGCTATGTATTCAATATAATAATAACTGAAAACTCAAAAATGAATGCAATTCGGGGAAATTATGCATGACTTTGACAGGCCAGGAAAAGAGATAACCGTAACTCCAACTTTAATCTGGTCGAAATCCTGAAAAGTTATGTCGTGCCAGAGAACGGCATAAGTCAAAATTATCATCGTCTTAAAAACATGGAAGTGAAGAACAATAGTTCAGGTAATGTGTAATTACAAAGAACCATAAGAAAGCTGCTCTTCAAACGTACTCATTCAAGTAATGGAACTTTTCAAACAATACGATGCAATTCGAATAAAAAGCAAAAACTTTCATAAAAAATACGCGGCTTACCGACTCATTCAACTGGAGTTGTTTTTGATACATGTTCCAGACGTTCGAAACAATCGCCGCTGCGGTTTTAACATTTCCAGTGTCAATACCGGACTGAGTAAGAAGTATACCTTCGGTGCTGAAGAGCATTATGGATTCCACGCCTCCGGTCCTAACACGATCCAGGTACCGTGACAATGCTCGCAATCTCAACATGATGTATATTTAGATACCCCTACAGCCCGGTGAAAATTTCAGTAGAAGCTTTAACAGCAAAAACACCAAAACTGTCCCAAATAAACGAAACTAAAATCGCAAAAGATGGTAAATATACAAGCCGATTATATTTTATATCAAGATATATTAATGGATGTTACATATTAAAGACAAATCATTGAGAGACAAATGTTCGAAGCACCTTTGGCAGGAACATCAGTTAAAAGAAAAAAACCAACAAGGTTTTGATAAAGTGGGGGGAATATCGAATAATACTTGGACACTTTTTAAAAAAGGTTGGACGCGAACTAGACACATGAGAAACTTGATCCCAAAAACCCTAGGTAAACTCCTTCAATCACCACAGCAGTTGCTTTTTTGGACTTGATTTAGGACTGTATAAGAAAAATATCGAATTAAAATGTCTTTTAGATTGTATAAGTCTGGACCGCAGAAACAAGTTGCATTTTCAGCCCACAAAGTGTCAAGTAAACACCCAATTTTATGGAAGAATAAAGTAAAAAAAACGGGACAAAAGACGAAACAATTGCAGAGAATGTACATTCTAGATTAGATTCCGTTACGATTAAACGTAAAATTAGCATGCTCGGTCCTCTAAAGAACATATAACATGTTGTCTCTCATGACATGAGATTGGGGCTGCAAATCTAACAATCTCTATCACTTCCGAGAACGTCACCTACTAACTAAAAGTTCAACGTAAATTATTACTGGGCAGACCGTCATGAATTGAATTCCACGGCTGAGATAAGTTAATGTAATTGCAAAAATACCAACAAAGGATATAAGAATGAACAGCGTGGTGGGTTACAAAAAACAAGAAAAGGACTTTGTCAAACAAAAGTAGAGTGTCCACAAACAAGTAGCAATGTCACGAGGAAACTCACATGTCCCACCCAATCAAACATCGAAATACGCTAACTTACGGAGCCGGGGGGTTAAATGTCAATTACATTCAAAAGTAAACCAATCACACCTCGAGGTGTAATAACAATGTCTAGGTCAGATGAACATATAATAAGTACCAATGAGGTAAGACCTTAGCGAATTCATGGATTTAAACTTAACTTTGCACGTTAACTAATAAGTGCTGCGCCAAAAATAGGGCTTGTGTTTGTAGGCATATAAAACACAATAGTGGAGATATTTTGGAGGTTGATTTTCTAAACGAAACTTTCGCCGCTAACTTTAAAATGGACCTGAATTTACCTGCTAGTGTAACTGTAGACGCATTGACTTTATTGCTAAGAAACGTAACGTTTACATAAATTATTCCAAGAAGTTTAACATAACCAGAGCTGATAATGATCGATTCTTGCTGTTCGTGTGTCTCGAATAAATGCAAGAATTACTGCAACTGGCAACGCATCTCAATTCTTTTGTGTAATAGTAATTTTGTACAATCAAAAAATTAAACTTGCTTCTACCGGCTGTATGATTACCTTTCCCTAACACTTTGTTGGGATCGATCCTCATACAGAGAGGATTTTTAACTTTGTGTATTTGAATTATTTGACCGCCTAGCCTCCGTCTTGTTGCTGAGTCTGGAGCTTGGTCCTTCCCCGTAGTTTCGTTAAGTTGATGCTCTCATGTGGTAACATTGTTGACTTCGCACCTGGAAGAATTGTTTCATCTGTCGACAAGGGTTTTGCTCTTGAATTAAGTTGCCCGTGGGTGCTCTTCAGCTTCAGTTTAGTTTTAGATGCGTAATATCTCATTTATTGATCGCGTCGAGGTTCCCGGCGTGACAACCACAACATCTACAAATTTGTACTTGTATGATGTCGATGATGATGGGGTACGCCTCAGGACTGTGTTTACGTTCATTTAGGATATTGAATTGATAATTGGTCATTGGGATCTAGGTGATCTTGATCCCAGTGTGGATTCTATCTGCCCGAACGGCTCACTTCTTATACTAAAATATGGTAGAATCTGGAAAAGCTGCCGCGACTTAAATATGGTTACTTGTGTTACGGCAGGGAGACTTTGCTCTAAAGAGAAGGTATGTTTGTAGCATTTACTTTTAGGCTCTACCGTTGATCAAGTCCCAGTTTATTGGTTTACAGCTTTTTGGGGGTTCTATTTACTATTTGATTCAATTCATTCCTATGTTACTTGTAGGGTTTGACTACTTAAAATGTGTGCGTATTTCGATGTTTTTCAAAATTGTTAGTTTTTTCACATTAAAGTATTAGTGCCATTTTGCATTGTAGCCTTCGGTCGTTGCACTTTGTGCTGATTCACAATGTTACATTTTTGATGCTACATCAAAGGCCAGAAATACTGCCTCAAGTCTCTCGCTTGTATGCAACCAACAGATAGCATGTAATGCAAAGGATGCTTGCGTCTTAGAAGGGGGTATGCTTAGTTTGCCTCATTTGTACCTTCTTGAAGATGGTCCCTGCGACATGGCAGTGGCGTATTCAGATCGAATTGTGCGACTCTTTCATTGGGTTCCTGGGAAACCTTCCGAGGGAAGAACCGGGAAACTCGTTTTACTGATAAAATGGGAGTTAGCTGGTCAAGTATCATGCAGCTCTACATCAACTTTCTTAGATCAGCCGAATAAGTTTGCATTCGACTCCATCGATGTCTAATCTAGTATGCTTGATATGCATCACCCAATGTGTATCGCACCTAGATACTCGCTTCACAACCTGGTGGTGGATTCGCTTTTCTTCAGAAAAAATTTGAAAGCTATGAAGACCGAATGTGGTGAGTTTGCGTAGCAATTATCGCACTAATAGCCCCACCCTTGTCTATCATCCACCAAAGCATACTTCTGATCAGAATATTGAGACACGTACGTGGATTGTCGGTGGTCTGAAATGCAATTTATCAGTGGCAGCTGATTACTTAATTGGTCTCTGTCTCGCTGATGGGACTGTTCATTTGCTTTCCGCCGACTTACAAAAAAGTAAAACTATCTGGTCGGTTTCCCTACCAGTAAATGGTGAATTGTTCGGCCTATCTAAATTTGACCTAACGGTAAATCATTCCACTTTTGTGGTTTATTTAATTTTTGAAGAGTGACGGGTCCGATGAACTTGCAGTCTGTTGTTGGGATGGTTCTACGTTTATATTTAATCACGAGAAGGATATCCTTCATTTCCCCGTGGGACAGGCTTGTCAAGCTTTCACGGCTGGTCGGTTGGCAATATCGCCGGGTAGAAATGAGCCTGTTTTGATTTATGCTACCTGCGAGCAATCTGTTCTCATTTACTATAATCTCGATGTGCAGTCTATACCATCTTGCTCTTTACTTCACGCGCTCGCTACACAACCAGATGTGTTAGAACGGCTACAGCGATTCAGCAATGCTTGTGAGTTCCGTTATGAAACTTTGCTTATGCGCAAATTCTCTCCCACCCGGTTGACTTATTACCACCGCCTTTTATGAATCCTACTTCTCCTGGTGCTCTATCGATGACTAACTTTTAGATTCTGTTGATTAAGCGCCCCTAGTCATAAGTATCATTATACTTTTTTCAGCGTCTAATTCGCGTTGTAATACATAAGCGGGTAGTGATTGTCACTTCGACGCGTCTGTAGACCGATTGTTTGTTTATTTCGTGTGTTGGGCACCTCCAATTTTATCGACGCGCAGCAGTTGCTTGCACGTTCCACTAGTGCGGTAAATCGACACCAGAACTTTGAGATCTACACATGATGTTCTCAAGTGAAGTTTTGGTGGGATTTCAAATTATTCCGTTTTTTAAAACATTTCTTATTACACGCAACCTTCATGGAGCGGTGCGGCTGGTTTGAGGATAGTTACTTATGCTCACCTATGTGCTTCTTTATAGCTTCGGATCCAGGAATGCTGCGCAAATCAATCCATTACCTTCTTTACGAATTGCCTTGTCATCCGAACGGTCTTAATCTTCCCTAATTTGAGCTCTTTTTTGCTTTTGATATTTTTTAAACACGATGACGAACATGCCACAAGCCTGTTTTGGGAGGACAATCTCTTGATTCCTAATGAGTTAGTTTATTTTCCCAAGGGCTCAAATCACCTCATCTTTAATGGTCATGTTATAGCGATTTAGTCCTTCCTTCTGAACGCGTCAGTTCTCTTACGATAGTGGTGGATTGCATGTAGTTTAGTCTAATGTGGCATCCCCCACCCAAGGACATGTAGACAGGGCAGCGGGCTGTGTGTTTATGTACCGGGAGGCCACAGCCCGTCCTTTATTCAATCGCACGTTAGTTGGTTGATTTTGCGCACACCCACCCGTGTACACCTTCTGCAAAATCGTTGTTGAAGTGAACGAGCGCACACGTTATGTGGAGGATATAAAAGTAGCAGTACTGATGTGATGTAATTAACTCTTGTGCACGACCATGCAACCGCCAGTTTTGCGACGCAGCCATATCCTCCAATCCAGACGTCCTGGACACTGTCGATTTTTTCGCCTGTGCGCCAAAATTTTAAACTGCTTTCCCTGTACGCCATCTTTAGGTGCTGAGCTTAATGGTATAGCATAAAAGGATGTGGTGAAGCGATGGCAATCCTTTAGTGGTCTTTAATACTATGCGGCACACAAATCCTAATCTGCTGTAGTTGTGATCAGGTGCATGGTATTTAGAAATTTTGTGGAAGTTGTTGGATAGATGCCATCAACAACTTCATAACTCGTGAACGAGGGAGCCGAGCACTGCGGTTTTTGACTAGAAAAGGAACTGCCCTCTTAGCGCTAGAGATTGGGTATGTGTATGCACAACCACTACATTGACAATTAAAGCAGCAGTTGAGAATTACAAAAGGGGGAGCAAGAGGACAGAGAATTGATAGGGGAGTGTGCTCGGATGCGCCTTTGTTTTTCAATTATACAATTTAGTTACCCGACCAAATGTGTCTTTGCACGGCTTTGATTATGTCTCCTAGCAGTAAGAGCATCTCGCCATAATAGAGGAAGGTGAGGATGGCCCAAATGATGCAGAGGATGAGGCCTATAATGCAGGCAATGATGACGCAGCGCCTTGCTATGTCAGACTTGCTGCGATACGCGTGCATATCGTTCGCCCTATAGTCGGTGTACGCGCAGAGAGAGTAGGCGAGAGCGGGTAGGGAGCACCAACACGTGATGGGACAACAAAAGATTGCGAAAAGACTGCAGATGGCGGGGCACCGATCGTACACTTGTTGGGTCTGCTGGTGCTGCGTTGTAGTAGTCGTGGCGTAGATAAGAGGCTGAGTATGAGTGGCGGGGAGTAGTGGCTGACTGCTCACTATGTGATTGCCCACGGGACTACCACTTGTGTAGACATATTCAGCCGCGGGAATCACTTGGGTATGATTGGCTATTTGCTGGTGGCTAGGTAGGGTCATGTATCTGTAGTTGGCAGCTGCAGCAATCGCCTGCTGTTGTTGAACTGCGGCGGCTTGTGCAGCAGTTAGAGCGGACACTGGAACAGCTAAAACCGGACAAAAAGGGGATGAACACCATCATGGGATCCGTGAGTATCGCACTGTGCTAAAGCTGTAGACGAACTGTTTAGGGTGGCGTTAACTCATTCATCTTTCATTTTTTAACCGGCATGTGACAAGGCCCACCAGTACGTCTTTAACATAGGCGAAAAACGCCTGAGTTGTTCGCAAATCGAACCACTTGCATCGCAGAAAACACCCCAACATATGTTGAATGGGAAAAAGGGGGAAGAGCGGAGGTAGTGATAACCGACCGGACAGGCTGCCATGGCCGTCATAGAGCATGTCGCCGGCGACCATGCGAGGACCACCCAGCGAGCCAAGTGAGCCTCGGACGCCGTTGTTGTTGTTGTCACTAGGCGTCACCACTTCTACCCTCTCCTCAGTAACCTCGCCTCCCTGCGGCGATACCTGTTGCTGTTGCTGCTCCATCTCGTAGGACTGGTGTTCCTTCGATGTGTACATCCCCTACTCGGTCCTATTGTCACGTGTCTGACAAGATAAAGGCAAGGATTAGGTATGAATACAATCACTACGCCAACAGACGATCTATAATTGGACATTACTATGTTTAAAGGCGTCATTTCAACAGCAAATTTCCAGCCTTTCTCACTTGGATGGAGAATGCACCGCTTCAAATGTTTGGTCGCAATACCTAAATCACAAGGTTCAATTTCGATGCGGATAGCTAAGTTACCTTTCCAACAGGGTCGAGGAGAGAGGTAAGTGCAATTAAGCGTTCAACATGCGGGTGACATCGACTGAAATAATGAATGTACCCTATCGTCTAAAGTAGGCACTTGAATGGCTTATGCCTCTTTGGTCTCTGCTTCAAAGAAACGAACTCAAGGTCTGCAGGAGAGTGATTAGTGAAAAATATTATTTTCCAGCTCAAATGTATGAGCTGAAACGTTGTGGGCTTAAGTAGCATAACACATTAAAAGGAAAAAGTTCTAAAAAAACACAACAAATGAGTATGCTTTTAATATTGCAAATAGCTTACTTTATGTGTTTGCAATATATATGTATATATGCATGCACTTGTTGGGAGTAGATTGCAAACCTTATCGTTGATTATGGATGAGGTGGTCGGTATCATTTTAAAGGGTACGACCTCTCACCGCGATTGCAGGTGCTGGGCTTAGTATTAACTTTAGTGGACGCTAACCCCTACTTAATGAAGATCGCATAAGCATGAAAGAGGAGGCGAGATATCCACATCGCACAATTAGAAAAATTTGCATTTCTACTTTTCGATCTAAAATACAAGTGTATTTTATCACGGCACCAAAGTTTATTCCAGTAAATCGGTAAATTAACCTAAAAAACCATTCAAGTAGAGTGATTGCGCTTAAGTACTTATAGGTCTTCAGCAGAGGCCTGGCATAAGTCAGACCGACGAGGTCAAAACCGCAAGTGATAAACAGCAAAGCGATTTTGCACTAGACGCACGTGAACTTTATGCAGATATTCTATGTATAAGCTTAGGAATCTGAAATAATCAAATTGAGGTGTTAACGGTATTCACGATTACCAGGTAGAAAACGGGCTACGAATAATGCTAACAGGATGTGAGTCGGTTTTGCATGGGTGATGAAGATTTCATTTGGAGAATCTAGCATCAAAGGCACAGGGTGAGATTTTGAAGAGAACTTGACAATGGCACTGGAAATGGCACATTGAACCATTCAGATGCAACTGGAAGACCATTCGGCAAAGATTCACAAGGACACAATGCTCGTCGGCTCAACGAAGCACGAGTGTGGGTGAGTAGGTGTGCGCGCACGTCCCACTAAGTCAGGGCTCTTGGCAGGTTAACTACTCGATGTTTTCAGCGGCTACTGCGTTTCTTCTCAGCCTTGCACAAACAAGGTAGGGGTGGTTTCGAAGTTAGTCCTCGCGCAGCGAAAAATAGAAAAGCCAAAACGGCAGTTCAAAGTCACAACACAGTCCGGAGCATCAAAGAAATTAGGTTTCATTAATTTCCAAGATATGACACTTCGGAGAACAATTCGATGCCAATATCCATGAGGATGCAACTATTTGCAAGTTATCGACTAACGACGGTTAATTTAGGGGACTAGGGGTTATTCACTTGTGCCTAATGCACATAAAAAACTATTTAAAATTTCGGTCTAAAGCGATAGCTTTTTAACATGAAGTTCCCTAATTTTGGCGGAAATATAAGTATTCTGTCACAAGCTCGTCGAATTATGCATTAGAATTGTAATCTGGTGGTTTATTTCCAAGAATATGTAACTTTTGTGGGACGGATAACCGGCCAGCTAATCAGCTACCTTTTGACGGGGTCACTGCGGCATCTTATATTTACATAACAGCAAGAGATTGATTTGGAGAACGGGAGATATTACAGTATTTTGGGTAAAGAAATTAACGCAACTTACAAACTTCAAGTAGCTCGTCATTTACAGTTATGTTAAACTCTAACCATTGTGCAACCCAGTAAATGAAAAAATAGCTGGGTTATGTCTGGATGCAAATAACTGTAAAGCCTGACAGACCAATAAAAAGGTTGCTACACCGGCTTTAAATTAAAGAAAGGTGGTGCTTACAAAAGATAGAGCCCTAATTTATGTAAGGATTTGACCAGCATTCTCTTCTTGCTCATTTGGTGAAAGGGTTTAGCTAAAATATTTTTACGGTACTACGGCTTGGTGTTGTGTTAACACACACACTCGGATTGGAATTGATTTTTGCTATTCCTGTGAGGTGGCTGTAAGCCTGCCGTATTTAACGACGATCTCAAAATAATTTTCCCACAGCGGGTAAAAGGACTTGAAAATTATACCAATCTAACGACTTGCCGATTGCATGACAAAAGGCAACATCCCCATGGTATTGCACCTAAGAGGCTTGCTTTTTTAATTACATTATAAGTGGTGTCAGGTACGTTGGACATGTTTTTTGCTCCAGGCTTGTCTTAAGAGAACCACCATTCTGAATGTGTCCAAGGTGACAGCGCTTCAGCTGTGTGTACAGACAGCTATTTAGGCAAGGGCCGAAAGCGATGTCAAGAAGCCAGTTGGCTAAAGAGTACGTGCGATTCCTATAGCCGAGTATAGCCCCCTAAAGTATTCCTACACGATTGTTGACTGGAAAAATAAAGTGTAGTATTTCACCGATTTCCGCACTCAATTAGCCCTACTAAAAGAGAATTCATTTATCTATTCCGGAAGTTTCATGAACTTCATAGCTATGCGTACAGCGCCAGCAATAAACTGTCCGGCCAATCGCATGACTTCACTTACTAAATGGGTGACATTTAACACCATACGACAAGCATTTGTAAATGGCGGGTGAAAAGGATGCTGTACAAATGCAACTAATGCCTAATCTGAACCTCAGAAAACAATACAAACAGCGTATGTTGGAGGGTGCCGCTTAAAATACTTGTTTAAGAGTCGGTAGGATAGTTATTTAGGCAGAATATCTTTGCGTACACATTCAGAAGTCCTTAAAGTTGCGTAAATAGCTCTACGTATTTACATTCGATTAGATCAACAAATTGGTTAAAAAATGGTAAAATAGAGCAAAGAGAATAAATCTTGCATTCTCCCAAAGAAAGCGTAGGGGAACTCTGTGGTAATTTTTGTCTAAGTCAAGAGAGCAGCTACCTAATCCAATAATTATTCCTAAGCCTGCCTCTTGATTGTCTACCATTCAAGGCGCAAATGGTAAATTTAAATAGCAGTTTTGGAACAGGAAATTGGCATCAAATGGAAAAAGATGGAGTGAATATCACAAAATGGGCGAATCATTGTGATTAGAAGTCGACTACACGAAATTTAGTTTCGAAAGACAGTCTATACGTATACTACTTGCGTTATCAGTTCTTCCTATCAGTCTTTTTCACCTGACTCATTAAATTCCAAGTTGAGGTAACATAAGCTGTTATAGTGTTCAAGAGGGAGCAAATTTCGAGTAAATCACCCCCATTTCATGCCTAAATGGCCAGACAATCGGTTTGCAATGGCTCTTTCGTTTATCAAGAGCGGAAAGCAAATCTGGGGCAAAATCTTATCGTGTTACTAATAAATAGAAGAGTTGAGGGAAATATGTTACTGTTGGGGACTGCATCTATAAAATTCACTTAAAAAACCATTACCACACTTTACCCACCATCCAATCCAAGTTCCGATATCGATCATAACGAGGCATCGTGATGTGATTTTAAAAATACTTAGAGCATTTCTTAAATTCTCGGATAGTGATTAAACTTTCTCCTCAGAAGATTGCATTTTTCGAGCTAAGCATTTCAATACAAACACACCATTATTCCATTGTGGTTGCGTTGCGTTCATTTTATTAACATTAATGAACATCGAAAATGGGACAACTGGAAAATGCAAAATCTGATTTAAACCGGCTAAAAAAACATTTAGTTCATAATTTAATCACTCGTAAATATGATCCTACGTTGAGCATTCATTATGTAAGTACAACCGAGTAAACTGTGGAGGCATTTTAAAAAGCTGCGATTTCTGGCAAAATAGCACCAAAAGTAAGAGCATGCTTTTGGATATCCGGAACTACTCTATCGAAACAAAAACACGAGAATCGTTTCATGCGATTCGATCGAAGTAATCCCAGCAGCGAAACCGCCCTTCCTTCTTGGTACGCCAAGTGAAACACGGCACTACCCATTCACCAGAGAGTTTCGCAGCGCCAGTGCAACGAGAGGGCTGAGAAGCAACGCGCACGATTAGCGCCTCTTGAGGCGTGTCACCGGCTGCTTCTGGCCGATTGTTAATAGCTTTGCCCATTTATGTCTGTCGCAGAAACTATAAGAATTTATGGCATACATCGCGTGTTTCCCTTGATTTTAATGTGGTAGTGTCCGATCGTAGGATAACGACATGTGCAGGCGAGGAAGGACAATGCATCAAGTCTAAATGCAAAGCCGCTGGCTTGGCGGTGAATCCTAAATAAACTGATTTTTTCCGTAGCATAGTGTATCTAAGCTATGGCTACCGTTGTTGAACATATTGGAGCCCGAATTAGGTACTTCAAGGGACCGTTGGCCATGGAGCCACGTTTTGAACCTACATGGAAAATATTTTGTCAGAATTACACAGATAGGAGCGCAAACAGCAAATATTGCAGAAAAAGTTACCATTGGATGGATTGTGGAAAAAACAGTAGACAAGGAAGAGTGCAATGCATACATTAAAGCAGCCGATTTTCCCGTTTTAAAATGAAACACAAAAAGGCAAACGAAAATTTCCAGCTGAAATAGATTTGTTAACAATCCCACTAGCCAATCGGTTGCAAAAAAATAGTAGATACAATTTGATATTATCTATCGGAATGTTACAACCGAAATGGGGCGAATTTAAGATGGATGTTGCCAGTATTAAGTTCCCGACGGTGACACTATTACCTATATTTGAGATATGGGACGAATGGAGAGAATTTCAACCATGCCTCAAAGGCAATAGTCGACT